TGATGGAGCTCATGACCAGGGTGATGGAGCTCAGGATGGGGATGATGGAGCTCGTGCCCAGGGTGATGGAGCTCAGGATGGGGATGATGGAGCTCGTGCCCAGGGTGGTGGAGCTCGTGACCAGGGTGGTGGAGCTCATGAGCAGGGTGATGGAGCTCAGGATGAAGGTGAGGGGGCTCATGGTGGGGATGATAAGGTTTTGATGGCGATGGTGGAGCCTGTTACGGGGTGATGGGGCTCATGACAAGGATGGTGGAGCTCCTGGTGGGGGTGATGGAGGGCATAACGAGGATGTTGGAGCTCTTGACCAGGATGAGGGTGCTCATGACCAGGGCGATGGTGTTCCTGATGAGGGTAATGGAGCTCATGATGAAAAAACCCAGTTGCCAGTTATTCCACAATAACCCAGCAAGATAGGAATGGTTAGTCTCATTTTGCAGAAGAGGAAACAAGTACAGAACGAACATCTACCTGCCCGAACTCACACAGCACGGCAGGGGCAGGACCCCTGAGGTCCCATATAGGGTCGGGGGGCTCTGACCGTGAAGGGTGCAGGAGGCACCCCCGAGACACGGGTTTCTTCTCTGCAGATGGCCGGCCACCGCCAAAACAGGGCTCCAGCTTCCCAGGTGAGCCCCGCCCGCGCGCCCCTCCTCCAGCCCCTCCCCCGCCCCCTGCCCCGCCCCCCGTCACACTGCCCCCTCCCCCCATAGGACTCCTCCCGGCTCTGCTGGTGGCGGGGGGCGTGGCCGTGGCCGCGATCGCGCTGGGCGCCGGGATCTGGGGCCGCCGCCGCTGCGGGCACGAGGACTCAGGTAACCGCGCAGGTGGCCGCGCGGGGGCCAGACGGTGCGCGCAGGCGCCGCCGTCCGCTGGCGACTCCGCCCCCGCGTGGCGGAGGCGGGAACTGCAGCTGGGAATGCACCCCCCCCCCCCCATCTGGCTTCCACACCTGCCCTTCCGGAAGGAGGGAGGGTGGAGCTGCGGGGGGCAGAGAATGGGAATAGATGGAGACGGCTGGCCGCTGCACCCATGTTTTTCAGAAGCAGAGACAAAGCCCCCAGAGGTGGGCTGCAGAGGGCCAGGCTCTCTTAAGTGCCCCCTTTTGGGCTGTGTCGCCCCTCTCCCCCATGCAGGGAACCCCCTCTACAGCAACGTCCTCTACCGGCCCCGGGGGGCGCCAAAGAAGACTGAGGCATGGCCTGTGGAGGGGAAGGTGCTGGAGACCCCCAGGGAGGACCGGAAAGCCCAGAGCTTCTATTCCGTCTCTTTCCCGCAGCCCCCCACCCCCCAGCGGTGCCTGGCCCCCAAACCTTGCCCCAGCCCCAGGCCCACTCATCTCATCTCTACAGTCAGAGTCTCTCCTGACCCAGGCCCCTCTAGGCAGCCGAGGCCGAGAGGGTTCCTTGAAGAAGGAAGAGAAGTCGGAGCCCCCGGAGACCCAGAGAGGACCCCCAAGTGGCCACGTGAAGATGCGACTGGTTCCACGGGGGTCAGCGGGGCCCGCGCTCCGTCCTGAGACCCCGTCCTCATTTCTGGGACGCCGCACCTCTCCCTTGCCCCCAGAACCCTCAATAAAGGCTCATGAAGAAAGCAAAGCCAGACTTGGTGGCGATTTGGAGGTGCTAAAGAGATCTGAGGGGTCATCTGGGGGTCCCAGAGCCCCCAGGGATGGGGGGAGGTCCACTGTGGCAAAGAGCCTCTGTGACGACTCGTCAGCTCCCCCCTCTTATCCTTGGAGGGACATATCCAATTAGCAGAGAAGTGATGCTCGCGGCCTCCCAACAGGGCCCTGAGCTGGAGGCCCCCCTCCAGCTGGTGTCGCCCCCGGGCAGGCTCGGAGATGACGGGAGAGGGCGGAGATGGGGGCTCCCTGGCATTTATCAGCTCCCTGGATCTCCTGCCCGACTTCACCTTGAAGTGACACCAGCTGGGCCCGGCTCCCCGCCCCCACTTCTCTGTTTCCATGGGGACAGATGTCTTTCCTGCGGCGGCATCGGGCCGCGCTGCCCGCCCGATGGGAGGGAGGGGCCGAGCGGGGGCGGGGCTGGCCTGAGAGCCTCCCCCCTCAGTTTCTCGTCTTTTTCATCTGCCGGTCTCCGCTGTCTCCGGGTTTTCTTCTGCCTCCGTACCTCGCTCCCTGCCCATCTCCAGTTCTCTGAGTTTTGGTCCCTCCCTGTGAGCAATTCAGTCTCCGACCCCAGCTCTGTCCCCAAAACGAGAAGCTGGGGACACCCTTCTCCCTCCAAGGGTCCATCTCCCTCGTCCTTCCCTGGGGCCGGCCTCCCAGAAAAGACACTGGAAACACACAATAACTTATTTATTTTCCAGGCCAGCGGAGGGCTTCCAGACACAATTCTGGGCCCTGGAACCCAGAAGGGGGCCGAGATGGCGGCTCTGATGAAGACCCAGGGCCTGGAGGGCTCGGGAGTCTCTCCATCTGGCCTCCCCCAGGACTAGAAAGACCTCTGGCATTTTCAGCGGGTGATGCTGGGCCCTCAGGGCGCAGGGCAGGGGCCTGAGGCTCCCGGTCAGGGGGTCTGGGTGACCACCGGGTACAGCAGGGCCAGATGCTCGGCGCCCTGCACGGGCAGCGGGCGGGAGCTGTAGTGGAGCACCAGCTCGGACACGCTGGCGAAGGGGCCGCTGTGCTGACCCAGCACGAACTGGTTCTCCCGGGTCCGCGCAAACTTCAGATGCAGGAAGCCCTGGCTGCTCCTAAGGGACGGGCGTCACAGGGAGCCTTGAGCACCCCGGACCTGATCTCCAGCCCTAAAGTCACTCCCTCATGGCCCGCAGGAGCTGGGGGCTGGCCATAATATTGCTGGTAAACAGCCATTTGGTGTCAAGCTGTTGGCTTGTCCCACACTGGCTAGGATTTCGTCCATCCATGTGCCGTAAGAAGGCAGGCTGGAGGTCACGGTGGGTGGAAGTCCCTCCCTGGAACACCGACTGGACTTTCTCGCCAAACCTCCCAACCTCTTGCGCTACCCCTCCTGGGCTCCCCGCTAGCTAACCCCCAGTCTGGGGTCCCTTTCCTTTCTCTTCATGTCTGGTGGCTGGAATTACCTAGAACCTGGAATCATTTTATCATCATCATCCATATGAATTAAGCACCTCCTGTTTCCTGGGAACTATTCTCAACATTTTTTCATTTAATCATCGCAGTATTACCATGAACTGGATGCTATCTATCATTATCCTTATTTTATAGATGAGGAAACTGAGGCCCAGAGAGGTTGGGTAACTCAGATTAGGTCACACAGCTAGAAAGTGGCAGATGTAGGATTTGAACCTGCCTCTGAGCCCTCTACCCATCTTGTCCTTCTAGGAATCGCACACTCAGACGCCTAGTAGAATCTTAGGAGCATTTTATAATCAGACACACTTAGAATCTTAGGCAGAGAAGTATGTAGAACCGGGGTCTCCAACTCAGACGCCTAGAGGGCCACTCTGAGATTCTGGCCCCGACAGACACAAATGGATATACTTCAACTTCTGGACTTGGGGAGTCCGAAGAAAGCTTGGACACCTACGTCCCCATCTCACCCAAGGCCTAGAGCTGCTGCGTGGCTTCCACTTCATCTTCTTGCATACCTCCAGCGACAGGGAGCTCATTCCCAGTTGGAACCATGATGGTGGCCTCCTTGGAAGCCCCACCCCCAGGCTGGAAGCCACGCCCCAGCCCTAGAAGCCCCACCCACCGGGCTGGAAGCCACGCCCCTGCCCCTAGAAGCTCCACCCCTTGGCCTGGAAGCCACACCCCCTGGCCTGGAAGCCCTGCCTATCAGTCCTGGAAGTCCCACCCACTGGCTGCTGGAGCCCCCTCCTCTCCGCTCCCGCTGAATCAACCCGAAAGCTGGACGCATGCAGTCCTGTGACTCTGTTCCTCCAGGGGGCTGGGTCTCACCTGAGGGACAGGGAGCAGTCCTGGGGGCTGGTCTCGCTGAGCCGCACGAGGTAGCTGCCTTCCCTGCAGAGCGACAGCAGGTTCTCGGCATCCGCCCGGCTCAGGGGGCCGTGAAACCACCTAGGAGGAGGGGACAGCTATCTCACGAAGGCGACCCCCTTCCAACACACCCTGGGGTCCAGTGCACGCCCCGTCGCTACCAGGGCTTGTGACACCCAGGCAAACAAGCAAGAAATATCCCCTGGGGTTTCTCAGGAGGAGCCAGGTTTTCAGGCAGACACGGTGTTCCCCGGGGTCGGCTGAGCCCAGGCCCCCGGTGTGGCAGCCGCCTCCGATTCAACCTTGATCTTCACAGCCTCCCTCCCTAACCCCCCAACTTCAATCACTTGCCGACCACTTTCACTTTCGTGAGATTTGCCACATCCTGTCCCCGCCCACCTGTGTCCTTCTTACAAGCCCCACCCAAGTGAAGGGAGGAAATCTCCTTTTACTCTATTTGAGCCAGGCACATCTTGAGGGTTTTGAGCCCCAGGTTTAGAGAAGGTAAGTGACTTGCCCAAGGTCACACAGCCAGGAGATACAGAGCAGGGAATCGAGCCCAGAGTCTGATGCCAGAGGGAGGGAGACTCCATCTGATCCTACTTTGCACCTAGCTAGGTGGCCGGCACAGAGCAGGCGTTGGCACCCGGGGAAGATTAGTTGAAGGAATGAATGAAGTGAATGAATGAATCAAAGTTCCTCCAGCCCCCCCAGTCCGAGGAATCTGTAGCTGGTCTGGGCTCTTCCATCATCAGCTTCCTCACTCACGGTTGTTTCTCCAGGGGCAGGGCCGAGTCCACGCGCTCTGCGGGCTGGGGGCTTCGTGGTGGGGGTCTCCGGAGTTCCTTGGCTGAGCCCGAGGTCCGTTCCCACTCCGGACTGTCAAACTGCACTGGAGGGCGAGGGTTCGAGGGGAAAGGGTTAAGTCCAGCCCACCTGAGAGGGGCGGGGCAGGGGCAAGCCAATGGAATCTCAGTAGGGAGGCGGTCCCAGCTTGGGGCAACCTATCAGAATCCAGAAGAGGAAGGGCTTGGTTTAAGGCCGGGGCAGGATTGGTGCAACCCATTGGCCTTCAGAAGAAGGGGTGTGGTCATTCATAAATCTGCATAGAGGGGCGGGGCAGCTCCATAAGTGACAAATCGGAGAGCAGGGGGCGTGGCCAGAGGGGTGGGTTGGAAGTTCTGCCGGATTCTGGCCCAGTCTTGGAGCTAGAAAACCACCCCCAATATACAGACAGGTAGACTGCGGCCCTGAGCTCCCATTCCCCTCCCAGTCATACATCTTCTGGGGCAAAGATGGGTTCCCACAACTCTTCCTGGTCCAAGTTATTTTATTTCTTAAAGCTTTCTTATTACCCCTTTTACAGAAGAGGAAACTGAGGTTCAGAGAGTCGTCCAAGCTTACCCAACTTGGTTAGGAATTGACCCCAAGTCCACCTAACGATAGCTACTAATAAATGCTGCCCTCTCCCCCAAGAGCTCCCATGTAATTGAGCCCTTTCTAGCACTCAGTTTATAAGCACCCTGTTCGGTAGGTACTAAAATGACCCCCATTTTACAGGTAAGGGAACTGAGACTCAGGAGATAATAGTCTGACACTAAAGACTATCCCTGCACTATACTGAGCAGAATGAGTAGGTTGCACTCTAAAAGGGGTTTCAGTTTCCAAGGAGGATACAGGTTCTCCTGGGAAGAGGAATTTATGACTATCAGTCATTCACACTTTAGTAAGAATTAACCAACTCCCAACCTGGCAGATGATTGGGGTCTACTTTGTAAGTTGAAACAGGGGATGCGACCAGAGCAGGAAATCGAAGGACGCAGGCATTCAGAGGTCAGGGCACGGGTGGGAGAGGCACCTGCAAAGGCCTTGGAGATGTGGTCTTTCTTCCACTCCCAGGGCTGGTCGTACTCATCAGCTGGCCGTTCATCCTCCTGGGGCAGCCGGCTCTGCCGAGGCCTCCGCCCCGAAGGAGGCCTGTCTCCCGGCTCTCGGTCTTCCTCCTCGTAAGGGGTGTCGTACAGCTGCACACCCCTGCACGGCAGTTCTGGGAGGCCGAGGACGCTGTCAGCTCCCAGTGCCACCTCCCACCTGTCCCCTTCCCCCAAGCCCCGCCCACTCACCGCTCACGACCCGCTGGGCATCGTAGGGCTCCATGTAGCCGTCATCCAGGGGTGGCGGATGGGGCTGGGCATCAAAGGGGTCTGAATATTCGGTGTCGCCTTCTGACTGGAGAGAGACGGAATGGGAGGGACGGGGGCTCAGGGGACCCAGCCTATCTCTGGATAGCCCCCTGCTGGGCGACAGTACAGCCCTACCTGCCCTCTCTGGGCCATCTGACACGTCCCCCCAAGTAGTTCATTTTTGGAGGCAGGTAGAGTGTTTTCTCTACCACCCAGGAATGTTCCAGACAGATGCCAGCTTCCTTTCCTCTCTCCCTCCATGCCCTTCAGATTCCCGACGCAGATCCCGCCTCCCTCCTTCCCTAATTTTAATGTTTATCAGCTGCCCGCACTGTTCTAAACACATATATTTACTTGCGATACCAACATTCAGTGAGTACATCATCCCCATTTTACAGATGAGGAAACCGAGGCACAGAGAGGGGGAGTGATTTGCTCAGGGCCACACAGCAGGTAAGGAAGAGGCAGGGTTTGATCCCAGGTTGTCCGCTTCTCCGAGGCCCTGCCACCTCCTGCCTCTCTGTGCTCTTAAGCCCCGCGCAACACAGCCTTTCGTAATCCTCCTCAAATCCTTGTCTGTCTCCACTGGGGGCTGGTGTTGACTCCTGACCCTCTAGGAAAAACACTGAGAAAGCCTGGGCGTTGGAGGCAGGTCTGGGTTCAGATCCTAACCAGCTAGGGCCACGTGACCTTGGGTGAGTCGGCGAGACTCAGTTTCTGCCTCTGGAAAATGGGAATAACAGGAAAGGCAAAGAGCAGGGGTGAGGCTGTTCCGGTGCCCGGTAGGGGAGTGACCCGCCCAGAGCTGTTTTAGGAAGATCCCTCCAGCTGCCAAGAGGAAGGGACAGAAGGGGGGACCAGGGAGCTGGAGGACACGGGGACACAGCAGGCCCAGCCAGAGAGGAAGGAGGCCACTCAGCGCTGTGCCCCAGAAAGGGACAGATTTCAAACAGGTGCAGGGCTGGGGGGTGTCTGGCTGGTGCCCCGGCCCGCCCGGGGGGTCGCAGATCAGACAAGCTCCCCAAAGTCGGGGCGCCCAGCCTGGCCCTCCCCACCCCGTCTCCGGGGGCCACCCGGCCACGCACCTCGTCCCCGGGGCCGCCCAGCAAGACCTTGGCTCTGGCCATGTCGGCCGCCTCCACCTTGATGAGCCGATGCTTCGGGGAGTCGTACTTGGCGTCCCCGGCGCCCGCGGGGTCCGGCTCCAGGCGGCTGTCGGCGTCCTCGTAGGGGTCCTCGAAATCCAGGTTCTTCTGCTCGCGGTAGGCCCTGAGGATGTCGCTCTCGGTGTAGTCGGGGGTGGGCGGCTGCGGAGGGAGCCTCCGACCGCCAAAGCTCAGGTAGTCCCGGAGCCACTTGGCCATTCGTGCGCGCGTCACCCCAAACCCGGCCACTGTCAGAGGGGCACCCACATGCCCCTCTCCTCGGCGGAACCCCCAGGGAGGAGGAGAGAGATCAGGTGTGCCCCCTGGCTGGGCTCAGAACAGGGGAACAGGGGAGAAGAAAAAGGAGACCGGGGAGGGTCTGGAAGGACCGCGGGACCCGGCCAGGGCGAGCGGCATCCGCGGACGCGCGCGGAGTTTCCGCGGGCAGCGCGGTCCCCGTGCGCGGCTCGGCCTCCCGCCGCCTCCGGGAAGCCCCAGGGTCCCCTCCTGGGGTCCGGGGGTCGGGGGGAGCGCCGCCTGCGGACCCCCAAGCCCTGGCTCGGCTCCGGCGCCGGGGTTCTCAGCGCAGCGGGCGGGCTCCCCGGGGGCGCGGGCGCCGCGCGCAAAGTTGGGCCGCGGGGACGGTGACCCCGGCGCGGCGCATCCTTTGTTGCGCTCCTCTGCACTCCGGGGGGAGCCCCAATCCCCGGCCCCCGGCCCGGCCGCCTCGATCCGGCCCCAGCCCCGGGCACAAAGGGAAATCAAGCTCCTCCAATCCTCCTTCACGCTTTTGAAGAGACTTTCCCCGCCGCCGCCGGCGCGCGGCCGGGAGGGGGCACTCAGGGAGGGGGCGCGCGGGCGGACGCCCTCCCGGCCCCGGGCCGCGTCCCGGGCAGCGTCGTCAAGGCTTCCCCGCCTCCCTCCCCGCGGCTTCCCCCGCCTCTCCTCCCCCTGCGCCCCCCTCGGAGGCGACTGAGACCTTCAGCTGTTCTGGGGAGGAGGGGAGCCGCTGCCCGCGGAGGGAGGGGGATGCGGGGCCGGAGTCGCGGGGGCCGAGGCCGCGGCAGCTGGACACTGACCCGGAGGACCGACCGGGGCTGGCCGGAGCGAGCGAGGAGCGCGGGAGGTGGGACCCGGCAGGGCTGACCTTGCTGGGGAGTGAGGGGGGCAGAGGCGGGGAGGGGAGGTGGAAATTGGCCGGGAAATGGGGGGCCGGACTTGACCGCGAGGCGGGGTGAAATTGACCAGCAGAGGGGGCGAGTGACCGCTGTGCAGGGTTGAAATTGAACACGAGTCTGGCGGCGAAACTGACCAGGAGATGGGAAATTGGAAATCGTTCCAGAGGTCACTGGTTGAAATGGATATTGACGCAGCTGAAGGAAGGGACGGGGCTCTGGCTTCCCCTCCCCCCAGAGGCTCTTGTCTGTCCCTCCTCCCCAGGGGACTAATTGCAGGATGGGGGGCGGGGGTGGGGCAGCTGGCCAGGGGAAGGGAGATGGTATCTGTGCCTGGCGCGTGTCCCCAGCATCTGTCCCTTTGTGGCTTCTGGGGGTGGAGGCAGGGAGGGGGACAGAAATGCGAGGGGTCTCGCCTGGCCCGGATGCCTGTTGGCAGCTGAAGCTGTCTGGGGACGAGGACACTAAGAGGTTTGGGGACAGTAAGGGAAAGAGAGCTGCTGCCCACCTCCTGAGCAAACAGTTTTTCTTTCCCCGTAAGGGGGCTGGCTCAGTTCCCCCTAATACTGGAGTAAGAGTGGGTGGCAGGGAAGGAGGGGACCCCAGATTCCCTTCTCCCACCCCCCCGTCCCCAGGGTGGGCTGGTGCCTATGGCTTGGAGGGGAGGGAGGACCACACTGAGCTACCCACCCCGGGAGGAACAGCCGGGCCGGGGCAGTGTCAGCCTGCTCCTTCCTTCCTGATTTGAAAAATGGGGCTTGTCACAGGAAAGCCGCGGAGAGCTGGAGACAGGATGGCCAGAATGGAGGGCGTTATTTTACCGATGGGGAAACCGAGGCACAGACAGATTGGGAAGGAACCTGCTGAGGGCCACCCGCAGCTCATTCTGGGGACGCCACGATATGGCCTGGCTTGGAGTGGCATTCGAGACCCGCCAGAATCAGTGGTTCTCTGGCTCTCCTCCGCTGTCTCCAGATGGGGAAACTGAGGCCCAGAGCAGACAAGGCAAAGCCTGTGAGGGCACATCCCTTTCCAGCTTCCACGGCGTCGCCCAAGGCAAACCTGTTGAACTGGGTCCCCCTCCTGAAGCGCATTTGTACAGGTCCCCCCCAACCCTCCCTCTGCCACGGGTGACAAGGCAGCATCCCCGGGGACCGCCGGGGAGCACGGCGGATAATTGTCCTGTTTTCTGTCAGCCGCCAGGCGATTCCCGGCCGGCGATGAGCCGTTGACAGATCTCATCAAACTCGAGTCCTCGCCTGTCAGTACATAGGAGACATCGGAGCTATAAGGATTTGACAGGGGCCTTCTAATTACAGAGCGTGTTAGGAATGGCAATTAGCAGCCCTGGAGGCAGAATCAAACGGGCGTTTGACTTTTCTGCGCCTTTTGAGCTGGCTTCTCCTGGGGCCGCCCCCACCCCGCCCCAAGGAGAGGATGGGGGGGGTCGGGGAGGAGCCAGAGATGGTGGATGGGAAGGAGGGCGGGCGGCTGGTCCAGCGACCTCGAGGAGTGACCTTGAAGAGCCACATAACCTCGTGGGTTTGGGTTTCTGATCGGGAGAGGAGGGAACAGGGGAGCGGTGCCAGGAGGGGGGCACTGCGTGGGCAAAGACAAGGAGGGGGCAGTCTGGGGGTCCTGGGCTGGGGGGACCTCCCTCCCTCCAGCACTCATGGTCTGAGACGCAGCTTATCGGGGGCACCTCCTGGGTGGGGCTCGGTGCCCACCCCCAGCCCCCCTGCCCTTGGGGAGTGACCTGGACTATCTACCCATCTGCGAAATGGGAGGATAACAGCTAACGTCTGTTGGGCGCTTACAGCCTGGACGCCTTTGGGGCACCGTTTTTGTTTTTTAGATGTAACATATATACCCTACAATTTACCCACTTAAAGCGTACATTTCAGTGGGTTTTAGTATGTTGACAAGATTGTGTAACCATCACCACTAATTCCAGAACATTCCATCACCCCCCAAAAGAAGCCCCATCCCCATGAGCAGTCACTCCCATCCCCTCCCCCAGCCCCTGACAACCACGAACCCACTTTCTGTGGATGTGCCTGTTCTGGACATTTCACATCAATGGAATCACACACCGTGTGTCCTTCTGTGTCTGGTTCTCTCACTGAGTGTCGTGTGTTCAAGGTCCATCCACGGTGTGGCTGTGTCAGGGCTTCACTCCTTTTCAGGCCTGAATAATATTCCATTGCATGGCACACAGTAGGTGCTCAATATATGCTTAAGGTGGACAGGGCCTCAGGAAAGAGCCAGATAGGGTCCCTGGCTGGTGGCTGCGCCTGCCCTGTCTGTCCCTCACCCTCGTCTCATGGAGCAGCCCCCCTGGATCCCTGAGTCTGGAGGGGGGATGGGAGCTAAGGCCCCAGGACAGGAGGGGACCAGGTTGGGATGGCCCACGGTGGGGCCGAAAAACTCCTAATCTGATGGAGGAGACATGGCCCTGCCTTAGGAGCTCCTAGTCTCAGAGAGACACAAGCTCCCAGACCTGGCTCTGTCTTTCCTAACTCGCTGTCTGATGGGAGACACGGTCTTGCCGCCAGTCTGATGGAGGAGGTATAAGCCTGCCTTCAGGAGTCCCAGTCTGATGGGGGACACATGAGCCTGCCTTCTGGGGTCCGAGTCTGATAGGGGAGGCCTTGGAGCCGTTCCAACCCAGGTCCTGCCCCACCCTCACCTGAGCCTTTGGCCGAGGTCCCCCGCCCCATGAAATGGGGCCCTAACGGAGCATGCCCCAGGGAGCAGGTAGCCAGCTCGGGTGTGCAGGGAGCCTAGGAGCAGGGGCGGCCCCTCATCTCCTTCATGAGGCCCAGGCCCAGGCCCAGGCGGGAGTGGGCTCCAGCAGGAGGGAGGCCACCCTGCCCGGTCCCTCTGCTGTGCTCTGGCAGCCAGGCAGGCCCCGGGGGAGATGATGGAGGAGATTCAGGATGAGGCCTGACAGCTCTGGGACTGATGACAGACACGGAGCTCGCAGGAACAGGGACTGTCAGCGCTGATGGGGGAAGGACGGGCTCCAGAGAGCAGGAGGGGGGCCCTGGGGGAGGCCGGGCAGGCAGGGAGGGGGTGGGGGGGGGCTGAGGCTCCAGCGTCAAAGGCAGCAGGGAAAATAAGAATTAAAGAACCCATTCCAGTGAGGGGTGGTGGAGAGCGGGCAGAACCATGGGGCTCCCTGGGCCTCGATTTCCTCATCTGTGAACGGGAGACAGCCACTCAGGCCACCAACATTTATTGAGCATCTACTGAGTACCTGGATGGTCTCAGGTGCTGGGGACCCACTTGTCAACCCACCTACCCTTGCAAAGCTCACTGCCCAGGGGGTCTGGCAGGTAGACCCTCAGGTGTGCCCCCTGGACACCAACCTCCTGGCAGTCATGCCAATGTGTAACCCCCTCCCCCTGAACGTGGCCAGGCCCTGTGAGAAAGATGATGGGGTGTCACTTCTAGCTGACTCTCGTCTCGGGCTGGCTTTACAGAGCTAGCTGTGCAGGCGAGCGACTGAGGGCGGCCTCTGGCCTCAAGCCAGGGGGGAACTGAATTCCACCCATAAGCATGGGAGTGAGCTTGGAAGCGGACCCTGCCCCGGTCGGGCCTTCAGATGAGACCTCAGCCCTGGCCAACATCTCGACTACAGCTGAGAAGCCCAAGAGAGAACCCGGCGAAACCACGTCCAGATTCCTGCTTTCAAGCTGCCAATTTGGGGAGATAATTTGTTACGCAGCACTAGATAACTAACACGGGGAGCCACATGCGATAAACACACCTCCTCCAGGCACGCCCTCCCAACGATCTTACCCGGCTTTATTTTCATCATAGTTATGACCACTTCTAGTATACGTTTATTTTCTTTATATTATTATATTTAGATATGTTTACTCCTTTATCCCCCATCTTCCAACAAGAATGCCACCTTTATGAGAAGGGACTGTCCATTTTTCTTCACTGCTGTAGCTTCAGCACCTAAAAGAGCTGGGCACACAGTAGGTGCTTAAAGTTTCTTTTTTTTCTTTTTTGGTGAGGAAGATGAACCCTGGCTAACATCTGTGCCCACGTTCCTCGATTTTGTATGTGGGATGCTGCCGCAGCATGGCTTGACGAGCGGTAAGTAGGTCCACGCCTGGGATCCAAACCTGCGAACACCAGGCCACTGAAGCAGAGTACACGAACTTAACCACTATGCCGCTGGGCTGGCCCCTAGTAGGTGGTTAATAAATAATTTTTTGAATGAGCAAATGGATTAATAAACTTGCAGCCATTGTAGAGTGAAAGCAGCCACAGATGATATGCACACAAATGGACATGTCCGTGTGCCAATAAAACTTTATTTACGTAAACAAGCCGAGGGCCAGATTTGGCCTGTGGATGGTAGTTTGCTAACCCGTGTTTTAGAGTGGAGTTAGGTTAACATTTAAGAATACGAAGCAAATAACAGTAACAGATGGTGCGTGCTCATGGCAAAAATGGGGGTGGATCCAGAACGACGGAAGTTCAGGAAACGGTCTGAAAGAATGAATCCAAAGGAACAAGGGAGGCCCCAAGCCCCCAGCCTCGGTTCACAACCTCTTAAGCCGGATGATTTCTTTTAACCAAGAGTCTGAATGGACCATATCTGGGCACAGTGCATGACACTGAGTTTGGGGACAGCAGGCAGTGGTGTGCTGGGAGATGCTCCACAGCTGGCTCTCGGGTGCAGGGGAGAGATTTGTAGCATTTGCCGATTTCCATGGTGTAAATTCTCCTGCTGTGGCCAATTTTTTTAAATTCCTTTTTTGTCTTTGCTGAGGAAGATGAGCCCTGAGCTAACACCTGTGCCAATTTTCCTCTACTTTTTTTATATGTGGGTCACTGCCACAGCATGGCTGACGAGTGGTGTAGGTCTGCGCCTGGGACCCGAACCCACGAACCTGGGCCACCAAAGCGGAGCACACCAAATTTAACCACTGGGCCACGGGGCCGGCCCCTGCGTGGCCAATTTTAAGCCACAAATATGACATTGCTGAGTGCAGAATTGGGAAGAGACACGCACCACACGTCAGTCTGCACTGGCTGCCAGCATGAGCCGGTGCCAGCCACCACGGTCACGGCGTCAAAGCAGGACCTGAGGCTTTGCAGCCGTGGAGGTAGGAGGTGAGGCCCCCCAAGTCCTCATCAGAAGCCCTGCCTGGGGGCCGGCCCCGTGGCATAGCGATTAAGTGCGTGCGCTCCGCTGCTGGCGGCCAAGTTCGGATCCCGGATGCGCACCAACACACCACGTGTCAAGCCATGCTGTGGCGGCGTCCCATAGGAAGTGGAGGAGGATGGGCATAGATGTTAGCCCAGGGCCAGTCTTCCTCACAAACAAACAAAAATAGAAGCCCAGTCTGGACCACAGGTCGCCTCCTCATATCGCACCTAAACAGGGAAATCACTGTAGGAGTGTGGGTCCCCAAAAGTGGGGGCTTTTCACCCCCCAAACACAGACCGTGAAAAATACAAAGCCTCATCATCAGATGCCAAGTGAAAGAGTGTGTGTGTGTGTGTGTGTGTGTGTGTGTGTGTGAGTAGGGCCGACATCAGCCACCCTGCAGGGGAGGGAAAGAAGAGACGGGGGTCCGTCAGGTTGGGGAGGAGTCTGGGTGGCGGGGCTCAGGAACTTCAACTAGAAAGTCCTGGAGGGGGAGGATTACAGCAGAGGGAAATCCGGAAATCTGGCAACCGTGAGAGATCGCGAGCTTCGGAACCAGCCTTCCTGGTCACGTGACGGCATCAGCTACCTTTTGCTGCATAACAAATATCCCCACACTTAGGACACTAAACAACCAACGTTTATTATCTCGTAGCTTCTGAGTCAGGAACCCCAGATCGGCTAAGTTGGTGGTTCTGCGGCCCCCTCCTCAGACGCCGGCAGAGAGCGGGCACCTAGGCCAGGTGAGCGCGTCTCTTTATTGCTTCCAGACGGTCTGGTGATGCAGCCAACCAGGGTGGGTGGGCTTACCCATGTGCCCAAAACGTGGCTGACACTGCGGGACTGATCAAGAGACGACCTCAAAGGCCTGCAAGAGCTGCTCCACGGACGTCACGGCCCTGAACTCGGTGCCAGGAGCGTGGCAGTGTGCGCTTGGGGCCCTGAGGTCTGGAAGGCTGGTGGGTGGGGCCAGGAAAGAAACTGAGTCCCTCGGCTGAAGCCCTCGCTGGCCCCGCCGGCCTCAGAGGACTCTCACGCTTGCCTGGCTGTGCGTCTGGCTGGTGCCGGGGCCTCCTCCCCAGATGTGTGACCCCGGTGCAGGAGGCCGGGCAGGGCTCAGTTGCTGCCGCTGCTGTCCTCACTGTCCGAGTACGCGCCCAGCTGGCTCAGGGAGGACACACCGGGCGCCCGGGCCACAGGGTCGGCCGCCTTCCCGTTCTGCACGGTGCCTGCGGGAGAGGCGAGAGCTAGCCCACCACCCCTTGTCCCTGCGGCCGCCTCCGACAGTTCCAGAAAGGCTGGGCCCGGGATGAGGCTGGGAGAGCGGGGTCGGCCATTTCTGCTTATTCTCGGAGGGCACGGAAACAAGCCGGCCTTTCTGGAAGCGTGTGGTGGGACCCATCCTATTGAAACCCACACGACCCCTGACCCAGCAACTCCTCTTCCTCAACTGACCTATGGAAACCCCACCCAGGTGGGCAAAGGTGCCCATGCCAGGAGGGCACCGCAGAAAACAGACACCACTCCAAGGCCAAAGTCCAACTACATACGACGGTGGTTAAGAGAAGCAGATCCTGGCTCCACCACCCACCCCGGCTGTGTGGCTCTGGGCAAGTGGCTTCAGCTCTCTGGGCCTTGGGCTCCTGATCTGATAAATGGGTGATAACTGTGTTGAAAACAACGGCTCATGAATACGGAAGCTCACTGTGTGCCAGGATCTCCTGTAAGCGCCTGACATGGAGCAGCTCACGGAATCAACACGAAAACCCCACGAGGTGGGCCCTGTTGTGATCCGCACCTTCCAGGACAGGAAACTGAGGCTGGGGTGGGGGTGAGGACCCTCGGCCTCGGCAAAGAACAACCATGTGGAGGCGTGGGGGACCCGCACCCAGGCTGCTCGGCGGGAACCCTGCTCTCACCCACCTCACCAGGCCCAGCCCACCCTGATGTTCCACGTCCCGAGGGTGCCAAGGGGACCCGGGGGGTCACACGCGCAGCATCAGCTACACAACGAGCCAGGTGTAGACACCCAGGCAAGGGCCGGGGAGGGCGGAGCCAGGAGTCTATTGACAAAGGAAGGTTGGCGGGCTGGGGAGGAGCCGCGGGATGGGGCATTTTATCGTATAAGCGCCTCTCTGACTAGGGTTTTAAAAACACTTGTTTCTTTTGTAATTAAAAGGTAAAAAGGAAACTCCATCCCTTCTCCTCTTACCCCACGGGCGCTGGCCATGGTCGGGGGCACCCCTCCCCCCACCCACCCCAGAGAGGTTCCGGAACAGCGCTGGGGCGCTGCTGCCACTTGGTGGCGGACCTCTGGACCTCTGCCCTACACTCAGCTCCCGGGAACGGCGCGGGGGGGGGGGGGGGGGGGGGCGCTGCTGCCACCTAGTGGTGGAGAGAGGCACTACACTCAGTTCCCAGGAGCAGCGCTGGGGGCGCTGCTGCCACCTAGTGGCAGACATAAGCACTGTGCTCAGCTCCCTAGAACAGCGCGGGGGGGGGGCTGCTGCCCCCTAGTGGCCAGGAGAGGCACTACACTCAGCTCCCGGGAACAGCGCTGGGGGGCGCTGCTGCCACCTAGTGGTCGACAGAAGCACTGTGCTCAGCTCCCTAGAACAGCGCGGGGGGGGGGGTGCTGCCCCCTAGTGGCCAATAGAGGCACTACACTCAGCTCCTGGGAACAGCGCTGGAAGCGCTGCTGCCACCTACTGGCGGACAGAGGCACTACACTCAGCTCCCAGGAACAGCGCTGGGGGCGCTCCTGCCACCTGGTGGCTGCCCGAGGCACTGCACCCAGCTCCTGGGAACAGTGCTGGGGGCACTGCTGCCACCTAGTGACAGACAGAGGCACTACACTCAGCTCCCAGGAACAGCACTGGACATGCTGCTGCCACCTAGTGGCGGAAAGAGGCACTACACTCAGTTCCTGGGAAAGTTGCTGGGGGGGCGCTGCTGCCACCTAGTGGCCACCCCCGGCATTGCACTCAGCTCCCTAGACAGAACTGGGGGCACTGCTGCCACCTAGGGTTGACAGAAGCACTGTGCTCAGCTCCCGGGAAGAGCGCTGGGGGCACTGCTGCCACCTAGTGGCCACCTGAGACACTGTGTTCAGCTCCCCTGGAACAGCGCTGGGGTTCAGGGAAGGCGCTGCTGCCACCTGGTGGCCACCCAAAGTACTGCACTCAACTCCCTGAACCCTGTGGAAACCTACCAGGTGTGGAAGCTGCAGGGTCCCTCCTGGTGCTGCGATCCAGGTCTGTTTTCTTCACCACCACCAGGCCCGACAGCTGGGGCCTGCTGCCAAGGCTGCCGACACTCCGCTCCCAGCTTTCTGCCTTCCTCTTGGGTTTTGGGGCCTGTGGATGATGGGGGGACACGAGTAGGTGGTCTGTCCCAGATGCCACCCCTTCTCTGGCCTCCTTGCTCCTAGTCTCCTGCTGAACCAGCTGCCAGAGGGATCTTTGCCACCTCCACTCCCTCTCCTGTGCTGACCAAGTCTTTCCTCCTCTAAACTCTACGGCTCCCCATTGCCCCAAGCTTGGTACTCAAGGCCTCTGTCCACTTTGCATCCCATAAATGCTGCACTTACACTTCTTAAGTCACACTGTGGCTTCTCAGTTTCATGCCTTTACCATGCCATTCTTTCCACCTGGGACACCCCCTTTGCCTCTAGTTCACTTGGTGAACTCTTACTCATCCTTCAATACCCAAATCAGGTATCCACTCCCCTGGGACACCTTTCCTGACAGTTCAAGCTCAAGTGAGTGCTGTATGGCCATGCCCACAGCCCTCTAGCACCTTACTAACTGGCCCCCCAACTATGCCGTGGGTTCCTGTCTCATTCACTGCCGGGTCTGCAGTGCCACAAACAGTTCCTGACACAGTCGGTGCTCCCTCAACATGTCTGAGGGAAAACGGAGGCACCCACTTTGGGGACTAGCCAGGAGGAGGCAGAAAGGTGCTCAGGCCCACTCTCAGCTCTTCAATCACACCAGAAGGGACCCCTTTTATCTGTTTTATGTTGAAATGGAGGAACTGGAAACCACTAGACTAAGGAGGCCCTGTCTGAGCTAGGAGCTGGTGACGCAGGGGGAACATGACGGGGAGGGTCCTGCCTTCATGGACCACAGAGGGTGGGCAATCAAGTAGATGATCAGGACAACATGTGTCTTAATGAGTGGTGTGAAAGAAAGAAGCCAGGCTGTGACAGCAGGAGGGAGGGGTGGCCACTGTCGATGAGGGCGTCAGGGTAGGTCTCCTTAGAGAGGGGACTTTGGGCCCATGTCAGAATGAGGAGGAGTTAACAAGTGGACACGTGAGGAAGGGTGCTGCAGGCGGCGGGAACAGCGAGGCAAAGGCTCGAAGGTGGGGCTGACCTTGGCTCACCCATGGGGCTGGTTCAGCTGGAGCAGGGAATGGTGGGGAGGAGGAGGACACAGTGGCCATACGGTGTTCCGTGTGTCCTGGCCGTGGGGCTCAGTGAGTGGCGACCATGACAGGTGCAGTCCAGTGGGGGGACAGAGGGAGACCAGCAATTCCAGGCAAAGCTTTCTTATCTGGGCCACTGCAGTGACTCCCGGACTCAACTGCGCCCTTGATCCTTCTGTCAGACACCATCACGGGCTCCCAGGGCAGGCTGAGTGCTAAGAGTCACGAGTGTTTGTCCCCAAATTGTCTATGCCCATTGTACTCGCCGTCATTAAACTCGACCAAGGAAACAGAGGTGCAGAAAGAGATATCCTTCTGTAAAAGTTACAGGGAAGGCTTGAGAAGTCTCGATGAAGGCATATTGCTTAAAACAAAACAAAACAAAAGGTCTGCTGTCAAATTAGGGATCAGCAAGCTGACTACAGAAGACTGGGAGGAAAAGTCATAAAAGGTCAGACTGTTTTGAAACTAGCTGAGATCTCTTATTCCACTTAAAAGAAAAAGATGAAATTTTGGGGGCCGGCCCGGTGGTGTAGTGGTTAAGTTTGCGCACTCTGCTGCGGCAGCCTGGGTTTCGCAGGTTCAGATCCCGGGCGCGGAATTCTGCACCACTCGTCAGGCCATGCTGTGGCAGCGGCCCACATATAAAATGGAGGAAGATGGGCACGGATGTTAGCCCAGGGCCAGTCTCCCTCAGCAAAAAGAGGAGGATTGGCTGTGGATGTTAGCTCAGGGCTAATCTTCTTCACCAAAAAAAAAAAAAAAAAAAGGAGATTTTAGACAGTGAATTCTAGGGATGGTTTATGTGAGAAAGATGGTGTGAGAGCTCTCATCAGGGGATATATCCCCAAAGAAAGTGTCTTGGTTCTACATTAAAAGATTGATGGGTAAGTGTGCATGACCCCCAAACCCAGCCTCGCTTCTGACAGTTACAGAATTCTCAGCTGGACTATGGCTGCCTCCATGAAAGACTACATTTCCCAGCCTCCTTTGCAACAGGACGTTGTCAGGTGGTTCAGTTCTGACCAATGGGATGTGAGCAGGAGGATGCACTCCATTGAGGATAGAGTAACCTTAATGGTCTCTACCCCTGCCCCTTTCCACTGGCTGGGATGGGGAAGTGGCACTGAAATGGCATCATCCTTGAGACGGCACGACAAGGAGAAGGGAGGAACCTGGGCCTCTGACACCATGAGGCCACCTTCCCTGTTTTGGATGGCTGTGCACAACTGCTGTTCGAGAGAAAAATAACTTCTGTGCAGTTGAAACCGTTACTCTGTGTCTTGTCCAGTGGGTGGACTTGTATTTAACTCAGACCATGAATATGTTTTGAATTAAAATAACATGTTTCTGGGGTGCCTGTGTTATTTATGATTTTCCCCTTCTTTGATTAACAAGCCAGAGTGAACTTGACCACCATGGATAAGACAGCTGTGGTGGAAAATGCTAGTCATCCACCTGCCACATCCTCCTCTTCCCTTCTTTGTGCCAGCGCGGGCCAGCTAGAGGATGCAGCTCCCAGCCTGCCTTGCAGCTAGATGCGGCCACATGACTAAATCCAACCAACGGGAAGTGAGAGGAACCCCATTCCACAGCAGGTGGGCCCCATCTGAATCTCAGCCTCAAGGCGCCAGCGGCTGCTCCTTCACACACCTGAGCTGGAAGCCATGTGTGCTCTGAGCCAGCTGTAACCACGGAGCTGGAATCGATGCTCCAGGAGAGGGCAGAGCAAGGAGATGGAAGGAGCCTGGGTCCCTGAATGACTGCATGGAGCCGAGTTGCCTGGAAGTCCTGGGCAGCCGGGACTGTTAGGTGACTGAGAAATAAACCTTTGTTCTCAGGTCTCTGAATTGGGGATCTGCTTGTTTCAACAGCTGAAGCAGGGGCTGGCAAGCTGTTGTCCCGTAGGCCTGCCACTTGTTTTTGTAAATAAAGTTTTATTGGCACACAGCCACACCCACTTATTTACATACCACCTATGGTTGTTTTGTGCTACAACGGCAGAGTTGAGCAGTGTGACGCAGACTGTCTGGCTTTTTAAGGAGAAGTTCAGCCCGCCCCTGACTTACTCTGTCCCAGCTTCCCCCGCGAGCACAGGGAGATTCCGGCAGCCCCGCTCACCTCGTCCAGGATGGCGGTGGGGTTGGGCCAGAGGGCTGGCTGGGGTGGGGCGGGAGCACCATCCTCCTCCTCCGAGTCAGAGTCTTCTAGCAGTCTTCGCTTCCTCGATTCCTCCACCAAGGCCCTGCAGGATGGAACGTGGGATTTGGGGACATGCTCTGTGGGGGGACAGTGCCGGGACCCCCCCTGCCAAGGCGTGTCGGCCCTGCTGCCCTTTCCTGGCCTCACTGAGTGGGGGATGGAGAGGCACACAAATTCTTTTTTTTTTTTAAATTGTCTTTCTCCACTGAGGGCAGTGAGTGGTTATCGTGTTTGGACGCTGAAATCAGCCTGTCTGGATTTGAACCACGGTTGGTGACCTTGGTCAGGGCTGTGCCTGGAGCTCCCGGAACCTCAGTCCTCTCGACCGTCATAATGATCAGTCAAAACAGTGCCTGGCACTCAGAAGGTGCTCAGTAAGTGCAGACTTCCCTCACTGTTACTCAGTATGGTTGATCAGCCCACCCAATAGTGCCGACCTACTGTGCGCCTGACCGCATCCCAGTCCCCAGGGACACAGAAGCCAAAGTCCCCGTTCAGAGTCTAAAGGAGGGGAGAGACGATAAACCAGGAGAGGGTGAATCAGCTAGAAGTTTCCAAAGAGTGGTAGGCGCCATGAAGAAAAACATGAACACAGCAGGCCAGCAGCTGCGTCCTCGGAAACGCCGGCTTGCCATGCTAGCCCCCAGTGGCATCTGAACTGGACTCCAGGAGCTCTGGCTACCTTCGCTGACCAGGGGCTGCCCAGCCCTAAATTGTCTGTGCAAACACGAGGTCTACGCCGAGCACCTGCTCCCCTCCTGGGTCTGGACTCTCATCCATGCCGGGCGGACGCCCTGCGTGACCCCATTGGGAACCCTGGGCCTGGGTCTCTGGGTCTCCGAGAGCCCTGAAGATGGCACCTCAGATGCACTGTCACGTCTGGTTTTGGGGGTATTGAGCACATCCTGTGTAATTCCCCTGGGAGAGGACTCTAGAAGCTTCTGCCTGGTCTTCCCAACCCCATCCCACGTGCCTTTTCCCTCCACTGATTTTTCTGTTAGAAACCACAGCTGTGAGAATGACTATATCCTGCGTCCTGGGGGTCCTCCCAGCAAACCAGCAAACCTGGGAGTGGTCCTGGGGACCTGACACAGATGCCATGAGAGTGAGATGAAGGGGGGATGCAAGGAAGGCCTCCCTGAGAAGGTGACGCTTGAGGGAGCCATGGAAAGATCCAGAAGGCGGGCGTTTCAGGCAGAGGGAATGGCCTGTGCAAAGGCCGTGAGGTGGGTCGGAGGCCCTGGGACTCCCCAGACGGTGGTTCCGCCCGCCCGGCCTGCTGCCCCCACTCACGCCGTCTCCCTCTCGTCCTCCTCCTGTTCCTGCTTCTGCCGCTCCTCCTCGGACAGGCGGTGCTGCCGCAGCATGGCCTCAAAGTCCACGTGGGCCTGCCGCTGGTTCAGGTCCTTGAGCTCCTGCAGGTTCTCCAGAACCTCCATCTCCAGCTTGGAGTCCTTGGTTCGGTTCTCCAGCACCTGGTGGGCGTGACGATGTGGGGCTAAGTGCGTCACCCCTCGACGCACCCCGCATGGCCACGGGGTCACCACGGGCAAGGGGAGGACCTGCAGCCTGGTGCCTCGATCCACACCTCCCGCCCGGTCCCATCACTGTGCCCATTTCACAGATCACAACACTGAGGCTCGGGGAGGGGAAGTGATCGCCTGAGCCCACGCGGCTGGGCAGGGGTGGAGCCAGGCGGCCTGGACTTCCAGCCTGGCTCCATCATTAAGTAAAAATAATACGGCAGCTTTAAAAAGACAACCAGCGCAATTGCTATGTGCCAGGCCCCAGGCCCAGAGGATTCCAAATATAATCTCATTTCATCTTCATAACAACCCCATTTCACAGAAAAGGAAACTGAGGCTCAGAGAGGTGAAGTCGGCCGCCCCTGTCTCAGAGGGCTGGCTGCAGAGCCAGGCAGGGCTGGGCGTGAATCCTGCCGTGGCTGCTTCCTGGCTGTGTGACCTCGTTGTATTATCCGTCTGGAAAATGGCAGTCTGAAAATATGTCCACAGATTCTCTGACACTCTTCCCTTCTAGTGGTGGAGCCTCATTCCTCAACCCTGGAGGTGGGCTGGTTTAGTGACTTGCTTCTTTTTTTTTTTTTTTTAAAGATTTTGTTTATTCTATTTTCTCCCCCCAAAGCCCCAGTGGATAGTTGTGTGTCGTAGCTGCACATCCTTCTAGTTGCTGCATGTGGGACTCGGCCCCAGGATGAACAGAGAAGTGGTGCCTCGATGCGCACCCAGGATCCGAACCCGGGCCACCAGCATCGCAGCGCGCGCACTTAACCGCCAAGCCACAGGGCCGGCCCGTAGTGACTTGCTTCTAATGAACAGAATACAACAGAATGATGGTGTGTCACTTCCCAGACGAGGTCATAACAGGCAGTGAGGCTTCCTCCTCGCTCTCTAGGACCACCCACTGGGGGGAGCCAGCCGCCATGCTGTGAGGAGGCTCAGGCAGCGCTGTGGAGAGGCCCACCTGGCGAGGAGCTGAAGCTTCCCGCCAACAGCCACTAGAGGGAGCCAGCTTGGAAACAGCTCCTCTGGCCCCAGTCGAGCCTTCAGATGAGGCAGCCCCGGCCGACAGCTCATGAGAGACTCTGAGCCAGAACCATCCAGCTAAGCTGCTCCTGGATTCCTGACCCTCAGAGACTGTGGGATAATAAATGTGTGAAGTTGCAATGTTTGGGGGTAACTTGTTACACACCAACAGCTAACTGATACCCACTTCCCTTCCTGCTACTCTGCACAAAATGAACTCTGCACTTTTTCACCCATGGAAAAATCAGATCAGATCTAACACGGCTTGCTTAGAAAACAACTGGCAGAGCTGTGAGGGTCCAGGAACAGAAGGGCATAATATTTCTGAGAAAAACCACAAAAATGTCCAACTGAAGATGAAAATTTCTTAGAGGAATAACAACAATAGTATCAACATTTAGGGATCACTAACTAAGTGCCAGGCCCTGTTCTAAGAGTTTTATGTATATGAAGTCATTTAATCCTCACAATTGTATGAGGAGGGCACAGATATCAATCCCATTTAACAGATGAGGATGCTGAGGCGCAGAGAGGCCAAGTGCCCTGCCCAAGGTCACACAGCCAGGAAATGTTCAAGAGAACTTTTCCTGCTACATTTCTAGTCTTAACACCCACTGGTCATGGGAACCCTCTTAGAAAGCTGTGGGGTAGTCAGCTGCAGGGAGCACTTTGCATTCCGAAGTCCAACTTCCTGGCCCCCTGTATTAGTTTTCTCTTGCTGCATATCAATTTGCCACCAGCCCAGTGGCTTAAAACAATGCAAATTCATTGTCTCATAGTTTCTGTGGATCAGGAGTCTGGCACGGCATGGCTGGGTTCTCTGGCAGGGTCTCACCAGGCTGAAAACACCAGGCTGTGCTCTCATCTGAGGCCCACGGTCCTCTTGTGAGCTCATGCAGGTTGCTGGCAGAATTTGGTTCCTTGTGGTTATGAGACTGAAATCCCTGTTTTATTGATGGCTGTTGACCGGGGGCCGATCTCAGCTCCTGGAGGCCGCCTACTGCTCCCTGCCACGTGGCCCCCTCCACAGTGTCGTTCCTTCAAATCTCTGCCATCCTGTCTCCAACTCTAGACCTGTCTGGATAACCTCCCTTTTATGAGGTCGACTGTGTCATAACCTAATCTAACATAACCTGATCAGGGGAGTAAGGTCCTTGTGTATACACAGTTCCCGGGACTATGCAGGGTGTGTGACCAGGAGGCGGGGGTCTTGGGGGATATCTTAGAATTCTGCTGACCACACTCCCCACCCCACCGCCCTGCCCGGGGGGCTGAAGCAGGAAGAGGCACCAATATCACCTGCACCCACACACGCACACACACACGTGCACCCATGCACACAGGCGGCGCCTGGCTCACCTTCATGGGGTTGTTCAGCTCCTCATCCTCCCGCTCCTTCTGCACCCTTTTCTCCTCCTCCTCCAGGAGCTTCTCGGCCTGGAAGTTCCGTGTGGCTCCGTGCTCCATGGTGTAGTCAGTGTTTTCGGGGTCTGTCTGGGAAGGAAGATGGGCAGACGTCAGCTCCTCCGTCCCTGGGCATCGAAAGCTCCTGCTCTAAACAGCAGCCGGCAGCCTGGGACACCTTCTCAATGTGTTTCCTTCCTTCTTATAGCTTTTCCTTTTTTTTTCTTGTCTTATTGCTTTGGCTGGTATGGTTCTCTCTAGCTAGCGCTCCTGTCCCCTTTTGCAAAAACACTTAGCTCCCCAGCACAGACTTTCAGACTCTTCTTCACCTGCCCACGGCCTCCCTACAGCCCCTCACGCTCCACTCCCCACCCTCCACATTTGCAGATAAATGTCTCTGGGCCTTTGCACATGTTGTGCTTTCTTTTCTACCTTCTGTGTATGTACGCTTATTAACATTTTTCCTTAATTATAAACTACACATCAAGTATGTACACAGCGTGCTCCTACTTGTGTTTATAAAATGGAGAGCCAAAATATAACATGCCATCCTGGATGAGACCCTGGAACAGAAAGACGACTTGGGAAGAAAAACTGAAATCCACGTCATGTCTAGAATTTGGTTAACATAATGTGCCCACGTTGGCTCTTATTGTGACAGATGCACCATGGAAATGGAAGACGTTAACAGGAGGGGAGGCTGGTGAGGGGCAGATGGAACCCTCTGTGCTCTCTCTGCAACTTCTCTGTAAATCTACAAGTATTCCAAATAGAAGTTTATTATTAAAAAGAGTGAGGAAGAGAGTGATCCCACGTGCATGTGTCTGCAGAGCACTTTTTTTGAAAATCACGTAAGAAACAGTCAGAAGTGTTTGCTTCTATGCACAGGGCCTGGCTGGGCAGAGAGGAGCAATTTTCCAGTGTTAATCCTGCAGTGCTGTATGAATTCTGTTTTTACCACGTGCACGCATATCCATAAACATATATATGTAACCCCAATTATTTAATCACCTGAACTTCTCCACAAGAAAAGCCAACCTATAACATTTTGCCATTGTGCCTGTAGTCTTTAAAAAATCCACGTGTATTCATTAATATCTAAATATATACACACTTTACAATTCAGGCAAAAAAATCACTTTCTGGAAACAACCCAAATGTCCATTAGCTGACGAGTGGATACACGCAATGTGTCTACCCACACACTGGAGTATGACGCAGCCATAAAGAGGAGTGAGGCCCTGACACAGCCACACTATGGATGGACCTTGAACACATGACGCTCAGTGAGAGAACGAGACACAGAAGGACACACGGTGTGTGATCCCATTGATGTGAAGTGTCCAGAACAGGCACATCCACAGACAGAGAGTGGGTTCATGGTTGTCAGGGGCTGGGGTGCAGGGGGGAATGGGGAGTGACTGCTGATGGGTACAGGGCTTATCTTGGGGGTGATGAAAATGTTCTGGAATTAAATGGAGGTGGAAGTTTAGCAGACTGCAAATATACTAAAAACCACTAAATTGTACACTTTAAAAGGGCAAACTATAGGGTATGTGAATCATATCTCAATAAAACTGTTGTTAAAAAAGTAAGTAATCAAAATATATAAGTCTTTAAAATATCTTTTTTGTTTATGTTAATCAAATCTTATCTTTTAACCGAAGAAAAAAAGCTTATGGCAAAAAAATACTCAAATGGTACAGAAGTATGTGAAAAGCAAATTATAAGTTCTCCTCATCCTTTCCCCAAATCCTTACTACCACCTGTGGAGTAACAATTAAAGTAAAAATGTGATTGTTACTGGCTACGTAATATTCCACTGTACAGTAGCTTGTTTATCAAATCCCCTATTATTGTACATCTAGGTTGCTTCTAGTTTTTTGCTTTTATAAATAATACTGTCATGAACATCCCCCCAACCCTTTCTCTGTTTCCTGGGGATAAGGGGAAGTCGGATTTCCCTGGAGGGAGAGGACAGGAGTGGGTAACCCGCACGGCAGGAAGGACTGGCCTAGCTGGCTGCCTACCTTGAAGGTGATCTCCGCCAGGCAGCGCGTGCACTTGATGTAGAAGCGAAAGATGGGCAGGCCCAGGTAGGCTTCATTCTGCACCGTCTCTTTGCGGGCATTGAACTTCTTGCCCTTGTAGATGTATTCTCCACACGTCTTACACCTGTGGGGCAGGACAGAGGGACTCGAGCCATCTCAGTACCCTGGTTCCTACTGGTCGGAGGCTCTGATTCTGGCAGATGGCTGCTTGCATACCTCCAGGGACGGGGAGCTCCCTCCCTTCTGAGGCAGCCTGCCTCGGATTCCCCCTACCTGCTGTGCTCTTCTCACTATTATCTGCCTGGGTCTCGGCCCGAGCGCCACCTTTCTGGGAAGCACCAGACTAGGTGAGACTTGCCTGTCACACACTCCCAGAAGGAAGCCTGGTGCTCACGGGGTATCCTGGCCTCCACGAGGGAAGATTCCACCAGGAGGGAAGCCACACAGAGCAAAGCAGAGCTCCTGCCACCCTGCCCTCCCTCAGGCCCTCCTGCTCAGACGTGAAAAATTGTGGGGCTTACAACTGGTAAGATATGGTAATTCTAAAGTCATATGAAGGACAAGATCTGGGGACTGGGAGGCAGAATAGTGGAGGGTTTAGACGGAGGATTGGAAGGGCCTCTTGAAGGGATGAGATCTAAGCCAAGATGTGAAGGGTGAAGAAGAGTCAGTCACGTGAGAGCAGAAGGAAGAGTGTTCCAGGCAGAGAGAACAGCTTGTGCAAAGGTCCTGGGGTAGAAATGACCAAGGCTGTTGGAGGAAGTGAATGCACATACTGGGCCCCATCTCTGTGCTCACATGTTTACTACTAACGACCAAGATCTCGAGCCGGCACCAGCTGGGAGCTCTACGAGGTCGGGGGGTTCCATCCTGGTGGGGGGCCCGCGGGGGGCGCTCACCTCATGTTGAAGGGGGCCATCAACCGTACCACGTACTGCCGGTCTTTGGGGAGTTTGAGCTTGGGGATCTTGGACGGGTCAAAGTCGGGCGGGTAGTATTTCTGCGGGGAGGAAGGAAGCGTCAGGGGAGCTGCTCTCAGACGCGGGGCGGGGGGGGGCCAGGGCAGAGGGACAGGCTCTGGGACCTGTGTCGGGTCACCCCGGGAGCGAAGCCTGGTGGGAGGACTCCAAGGACTCAGCATCCAGCCCTGCTCACGGCTACTATTCATCACAGAGAAAGGATACAGAGAACAATCTGAAAAGGCGCATGGGGGGGCAAAGCCCAGAGGAACCCAGGCGCCAGCTTCCAGAGTCTTCTCCCGATGGAGGCACACAGGACGACGTGCTCAGTGCCCCCAGCAGGGAGCTGTGACACCGTACATGAAATGCTTCCCGGGGAAGCTCAGAGACCCAGCGCCCAGGGTTTTCGTGGCGGCTGGTCACGCAGGCACCCCTGCCCAGCACGTCCCAGGGTCCAGACTCCAGGCGGGGAGCAGGTGCTCAGAGTAAACCATGTTGCTGGTACAGTTGAGGCACGGGGAGCCAGTCTTATCAGGGAACACTGGGGACCATCCCGACATCCAAGCTCCCGGAGGCCAGCCAAGGCCCAGCCGTGTAAGGCAGCCTCAGGCCCGCTATATTAACCCTGGGCCTCGGTTTCCTCATCTGAAGAATGGATAACCTGTCCACCCACGAGGGCTGGACGAGCACAGCCCTTAGCCCAGGGCCTGGCACACAGAAGTATCGACCGGTAAGTTATGGAAATAGAGGGCGCCCGGTTGGATCCTTAGGACGGAAGGGGTTTCACGGACACTGCACTGGAATGCGAGGAGGCTGGGGCTGGATTCCCAACACAGGTGTTTAAAAGACGAGGGGCTGAGCCACAGGAAGGGACGTCCGCCCGACCTCGGAACCCTGGGCTCCCGGCCATCAGTCTAGAGGTCTCTTCTCTGCTCCGTCCTGACATCCTGGACTTACACACTCCCAGGACGGGGAGCTCACCCCCTTCCTGGGAGCACACACCCTCCTGGCGGGTGGAGGACAGGGACTCAGAATTCCGGAGCTCTCTTTCCCAGAAGCCAAATCCTGCCTTCAGAGAACCCCTCCACCCCCCAAGAGTCCTGGTTTTCCCCCAACAGAGTCAGACGGAGAAGCTGAGACAACGGGGAGGGTCCCCTACAGCAGGGCAGAGGCGCTTAGCAAACCCTAATCCCTCCAAGAAACGCGATTGGCTAGAGACCCCAAGAGGGGGCGGAGATTAACAGAGCCCCGCCCCTGAAGGCCATGGAGCACAGCGGGAATACCATTAATTTAAGGAAGCCCCGCCCCGAGGGAAGTGATTGGCTAATACCCTTCGGAAAACCCAATCAGGAGAAGTTATTGGCTAAATAGCCGAAGCTCCGCCCCTCGCACGTGATTGGATACACGTCAGCCCCGAGGGGAAGGCTTAGAGAAGGCCCACCTCCCGAGGAAGGTGATTGGGAGGAGTTTAAATAGCCCCGCCCCGAGGGAAGTGATTGGAAAACACCGTTCAGAAAACCCCATCAGGGGAAGTGATTGGCTAAATAGCCCAAGCTCCGCCCCTCACAGGTGACTGCATACACGCCAGCCTCAAGGGGAAGGCTTAGCGAAGGCCCCCCCCCCCCCGAAGGTGATTGGGAGGAGCTTGCGGAGCCCCGCCCCGCGGAAGGCCGTTGAGCAGAAGAAGAAAAAGGTTCCAATAGGAGAGCAGAGGCAGCCTGCCTCGGCCGGAGCTCCGAGATGTCCCGCCCCTGGGAGAAAGCCCCAGTCGCCCATCACTCACGTTTAAAACTTTTCGTTCCGACATCTTTGCCTCCTACTCTTAAAAGCACGACGCAACTGCTTAGGCTCGGTGTTTACCGACCTTCCCCGACCGCCCCTTGCACTTCCGCTGACGTCACGTCCTCCAGCCTCTATTATTGGCTGCAGCGTACACAGCTTGCCTTTTTTCATTGGCTCCGATCCCCGCCTGTCAAGATCGGAAGCCTATTATCTCCTCTTGCGAGTTGCACCCTCGGTGGTGCGCAACCACGGTTCCGGGAGCGGGCTGGGTTTGGAGAAGTTCCGAGGAGGCGCTGCGCCCCCTAGAGGTCGGCAGCGGCTGGTTCACATCTCATCGTGACACTGTGTGGCCGCTGGTCGCGACACTCCTTTGTTGTTCGTTCTTTTAATTAGCAAATAAAGCGCTGAGAGATGAGCGCTTACCCTGTGCGCTGGCCTCTGGGAATCCACACACCGTTCCTGTGTCCTAGTGTCCACGTGGGGACTGGGGGCAGATCCCACGGGCGACACATGTCCCCTAAGGAGCACCCTGGACGCCCCACCCCAAGTTTATCCTGATCACAGGCTGAGACTCGAAGACCAGGCTGCAGACCCACCTCCCTCCTCCTCACACACCGGCTCCCAAATGTCCCCCCACTGCCCACCTGCGTTGTCCCTATAAAGAGGAGGTCCCACCCCATTCCTTCCCCAGCTGCCTGCCCTCCCCTTGTAATTGTTAATTCTGGGTCAGATCCCTGCTCAGTCACTGGGGACCCATCAGAGAACAGGACATCAGATTCCTGCCCTCACGGGGGTCACTGCCTGTCTGGTGGGACAGACGGACAGCAAACATAAAAAAAGACCCTTTTGGGGTCTGGGAAAGGATCCCAAGACAATAAAACAGGGCCACATATGGAAAGTGATGAGAAGGGGATGGTGTGTGAGTTTCCTACGGAAATTACCACAAATTCAATGTCTTAAAACCACACACATTTATTATCCTATAGTTCTGAAGGTGGGAAGTCTGGTTCCTTCTGGAGGCTCCGGGGGGGATCCGTTTCCTTGACTTTTCCAGCTTCCAGAGGCGCCTGCGATACTTGGCTCGTGGCCCCCCATTGCTCTGACGTCTGCTTCCGTGGTCACATCACCTTCTCTCTCCCTCTGACCCTCCTTTTCCCTCTTATAAGGACCCTAGTAATCATCTTGGGGTCCCCTGGATAATCCAGGGTGAACCTGCCGGATGTTTATTAACTTAATGAAAGATTGTTCATCTTGAAGGAGCCTCAGGATTCTTAATTTAATCACACCCGCAAAGTCCCTTTTGCTGTGTAAGGTACCATAGTCACAGGTTCTGGAGGTTAGGACGTGGAAATCTTTGGGGGGTAGTTATTCTGCCTGCCATGGGTGAGGTGGTCAGGGAAGGCTTCTTGGAGGAAGTGACCTTTGAGTGAAGACCTGAGTGAAATCCACAGACAAGCGCATGGATTTTCCCTGACCTTTAGGGCCTGGCTGCTTTGCCCCCTCCTCAGAGAGTCTTCCCAGATACACCCATGTCCCATTTTTGTACACCCACAGTGGGACTCACATTGGCGCAGCTTTGAAGAGATGGGTGAACGAATCTGCTGAACTGAATGGATCCCACTGTCCCATCCTGAGCAGAACCCCCGCCACCCCCACCCCCACACCCCCAGCCCGGGTCTCTTCCCCTGCTCCAGCCCTGACCCCAGTCATGGGAGTGGGGATCCACTGTATGTTTGTCCTGCTCTGTGCTCTCCTCTCAGACTCCTCTCTGGGTCTCATCTGGGTCGGTTGAAGGAAGGGAGGAAGAGTCCTAATTCCAATGACAATGATCCCTTTCTAATTAAACAATAAAAAATATCTCACATTCACAGTTCACAAGGCTTGCACTGTTGTCCAAGGAGGGAGAACATCCCCATTTCACAGATTGAGAAACTGAGGCTCAGAGAGGCAAAGTCACTTGTCCAAGGCTGCCCAGCGACTCGGCAGCAGTGAACCCAGGCCGGTCGGGTCCCATCCACCCTAGGGTGAATGGCAGCAGTGGGGGGTGGATGTCAAGGACCCAGGCCCTTCTTTGGGGGTGCCGGGACCCCCCTGCTACTTGCCCGGGGTCACAGCAGTGGTGGCAGGGACACTCCAGTCACTCAGTTCCCCGTAGTCGGTGAGCTCCTGAGCAGCCACCTGGATGCAGTACCTGGCTTGCGGCCTCACAGCCCTGAGGGTGAAGGATGTGGCTTCAATGGGCCCCACCTGAGAGCAGACACAGGGCTGGGTCAGCCGGGACGAGGAGGCCGCGAGGGGCCGCCGTGCACAGACCTGCACAGCTGAGCCTTCAGCCCCTGCTCAGGCCGCTTCTCCAGGACGCGGGCACCAAAAGCCCATCCCAAACAGCATGCCCCCTAAACAGCATGCCCCCAGGCCCCTCCACGTCTGAGTCCTTCCTGACTCTCACCTGTGCCGATTTCCGTGCGTGGCCCCAGAGCCACTCGTTCAGAAATCCTTCATGGACCTCACCAGCCCCTAGGGATGTCTCAGTGGCGAGACCCCTCACTCACCAGGACCACCATCCCCAACCCCACTCCTCCTGCCGGGCCTGAACCGGAGCCCCTGGCATCAGCCTCGATGCCTCCCTCCCCCCCAGCCCCGCTGTATTAACCATGTGTTTTAAATGTCTGTATCTTATGATGTTCTGACATCTGAAACACCTTGCTGACCAGAGAGAGACCCCCCTCCAGGGCTAGCCATTCTCAGAGACGGCAAAGGGCTCGGCCAGGGGGAGCACGCCTTTCATATCCAAACCAACCCCTCCCGACTCTATACCCCCGATCGCCGCCTTTCTCTAAGTCTCACTCTCAGGGCCACTGTCCCCGCCCTAAGTCACCCCAGGGCCAGGTACGGGACAACTAGGGGCCACCTCTGTAGCCTGAGCCTGCTGGAATTATTCAAACTGGCCAACCCTGAGCTGTTGGCCCTGCCCTGCCTTTCCCGCGGAAGCCCCAGATGGCCCCACGTGGGGTGGCGCGGCCCCTCCTCTCGGGAAATGTAGTAAATTCTTCCTTCAATGGCCTCGACCTTCCGTGCCATCACTCGGACACTTCCGTAGATGAAATCCCGCGGACGCAAAAGAGACTCCCACTCAGCCCTGCCTTTTCTGTCCCCTCTCCTGTGCATCCTTCCCTCTCTGTCCCCGCCACTCCACACTCTCTCTCCGACACCCAGCCCTCTCCTCCTTCCCGGTCCCCCCTCATCCTCAGGATGTCCCATTCCAGCCCCCTACAGGCCGCTTCCTAACCCCAGGTCTGACTCTGTCCCTTCCTTGCTCTACCCAGGCTGTCCCGTAGAGCAGCCGGAGGTGACACTTTATGTTTTACATTTAGATTAATTAATAGTCGCACAACTTTGCCAACACACTCAAAGCGACTGGCTTGTGCACTTTAAAAGGGTGAGTTTTGTGACATGTGAATTTTACCTCAATTTAACAATTGCAAAATTTTTTAAATTATATTAATGAACACTGAATAAAATTTAAAAGCCGGCCACTTGCCACATCGCGATTGCTTGTCAGAGACACGTGGCTGGTGGCTACCATTTTGGACACTACAGATGTACAGGATTTCCACCGTCGCAGAAAATTCTAGAGACGGGTTGCAAAAGGCTAAACTCTGCAGACTCGGCTCTTCATCCCAGCATCTAAGGCTGCCCGGGACACAGCTGACTTTCCCAGAGGCTCACAGGTACCCTGCCTTCATTGTTTCTTTTCTAAGAATTTAGAACAATATATGTTGTTTTCAGTCGAGGTGAAATTCACATGGTGTAAAATTAACCATTCTAAAGTGGACAATTCAATGGTATCTAGTGCATTCACAATGTTGTGCAACCATCACCTCTACCTAGTTCCAGAACATTCCGTCACCCCAAAAGACACCCTGTGTCCATGGGCAGTCACTCTCCATCCCCTCCTCCAGTCCCTGACAACCACGAACCCACTTTCTGTCTGTGGATTTCCCTGTTCTGGACATTTCACATCAATGGGATCACACACCGTGTGCCCTTCTGTGTCTGGTTCTCTCACTGAGCATCGTGTGTTCAAGGTCCATCCACGGTGTGGGTGTGTCAGGGCCTCACTCCTCTTCATGGCTGCATCATATTCCAGTGTGTGGATGGACCATATTTAGTTTATCTATTCATCTGTGGGTGGACATTTGGGCTGTTTCCACCTTTCGGCTGCTGTGAATAGCGCTGCTAGGAACATCTGTGTACAAGGGTTTGTCTGAGTCCCCGCCAGCCTTTACATTGCACACAAGCAACCCCAACCTGCGTTCGAGGCCGCCCGGGCACCTTTGCACCTGCTGTCCCCTCCACCCGGGAACCACCCTCCCCGGGCTCCCCGCGTCTTCCTCACCTGGCGGAAGCGGGCGGATCCGTGACGCTTATAGCGGATCCGGTACTTGAGTGAGAAGATCTCCGGGAAGGGCCAGGACTGAGGAGGCTCCCACTGCACCCACAGCCGCTGCCCAGGGAGGGGGCTCAGGTGCACGCCCTTTGGGGGGTCTGGTTTGACTGATGGACAAGCAGAAGGTGGGATCAGCGGGCAGCAGATTCATTCATTCAATCAACCAACAACTATTACTGAGTGTCTGGCAATGTCCCGGACACTGGAACGCAGCAGTGACCAGTACAGACCCAACCCTATCCTCTTGGAACTCAGTTCATCCAGGCAGAAGGCAAGAGACAAGAAGCAAATAGTAGGTCATAAAGAGTGGGGGAGAAAGTTCAGGATTGCAAGGAGGGAGTGGAGCACAACGGTTTTTTGAGACATAATTCACGTGCCACAAAACTTACCCTTTTATAAGTGTACAGTTCAGTGGTTTTTAGTAAATTCCCAGAGTTTTGCAACCATCACCACTACTTAATCCAGAACATTCCATCACCCCCAAAAGAAACCCCATACCCATCAGCAGTCACTCCCCATCCTCTCCCCAGCCCCTGACAACCACAAACCCACTTTCTGTCTGTGGATGTGCCTGTTATGGACATTTCACATCAATGGAATCACACACTCTGTGGCCTTCTGTGTCTGGTTCTCTCACTGAGCATCATGTGTTCAAGGTCCATCCACAGTGTGGCTGTGTCAGGGCTTCACTCCTTTTCATGGCTGCGTAATATTCCAGTGTGTGGATGGACCACATTGTGTGTATCCATTCATCCATTGATGGACATTTGGGTTGTTTCCACATTTTGGCTACTGTGAATAATGCTGCTGTGAACATTGGTGTAAAAGTTTTTGTGGACATGTTTTCACCTCTCTTAAGTATATACCTAGAACTGGAATTGCTGGATTATATGATAACTTATGTTTAACTCTTTGAGGGACTGCCACACTGGTTTTTACTAACCACAGCAATGTATGAGGGTTTTCAATTTTCAATAATGTGCTCAGGGAGGCCTCACTGAGGAGGTGACATCTGAGGAGAGACCTGAACGGAGTGAGAGAGCAAGTCAGGTGGAAATCTGGGAGAAGAGCTTCCTGGCAGAGGGCACAGCCTGTGCAAAGGCCCTGGGGCAGGACCGTGCCTGGCGTGTTGGAAGAACAGCCAGGAGACCCGTGCGGCTGGAGCAGAGGGAGAGAGGGAGGAGGGAGGGCAGGGAGGGGACGGGGCAGGTCATGCGGGGCCTGGTGGGGCGGCAGGGAGGACTTGGGCTTCTCTACCGAGGGAGGTGGGAGCCCTGGAGGGCTGTGGGCAGGAGGAGGGCTGACCTGACTCAGGGGCTTGCAGGTGCCCCTGGGGCTCGCTGGTGGCCACTTCAGGGAGGACAGACTGTAGGGGACTGGGGCAGAGGTGATGATGGGGCTGGACCAAGTGGGGGCCCAGGAGGGGGAGAAGTGGGCAGATTCTTGATTAACTGTGAAGGTAGAGCCGAGAGGATCCATGACGGATGGACGGCACTGGGTGACAGGTAGGAGGTGGGGGGTGGCGAGAGAGAGAGAGAGGAGCAGGAACAAGCTAGTGGCCCTCCACTGCCCCCCGCCCCCGGTCCCCACTCACTGATGTGCTCCGGGACAAAGGGCACGACAAAGGTGCTGCTGATGCCCTGGGGGTGGACGGCCGTGACGTTGAGCACGTAGGGCACCATGGAGAACATCTGGATGTCCGGGATGGTGCAGCTGCTGGCCCCCGGTGTCGGCTGGAGGCAGGGCCGGCTCTCCCCGTGGGCGGCCACGCCGAGCCTGGACACAGGGTGGGCGCTATGAGGTCCTCGCCCCTCCTGCTGGCAGGGCCTGTGCCCTGGACCCCGGGGTGGGGGGGACAGCAGGCGAGAAGCCACTGGCCGGGGTCCTGCTCTGGGCTCTGTGACCCTGGGGGAGGCGCTCACCCCAACATCACAGAGCCTGCAAGGATCCAGGGTCGGGGGCAATGCACCATGGGAGATGCTAGGGTTGCACATTCTAAAAGTTTCTGGAATATCAACCTTCCAGCCTTAGAATTCCAACATTCCAAGATCTGTAGATTCACAGACTCTGGAATCTGAAATAATAAGATTCCAATTCTTTCGGTTTCTGAGACCCCAAGATTTCAGACTTTAGAGACTTGAGCTCAGCGCCCTCCATAGACCTTTCCAGAACATTCAAAATGCTCTGTTTCTGTGCTGTCGGATGTAATGGTCGCCGGCTGCGGGCGTGTGGCTCTGGAGCACTTGAAATGTGGCCAGTGTGACTGTTTAATTTAATTCATTTTATCTAATCTAAATGTCAAGTTTTCGGTTCTCGGAAAACTTGGATAAGTTCTTCGGAACAAATAGATAGCGTGAATCTACTATTCCGACCGTAAATTTTATGAAATCTAATCAGAGATCAAGAGTGTCCGATGAAAGTTTAGCATCCGAATTGAAATGCACTACATGCATAAAACACACGTGGAATTTCGAAGACTTAGTATAAAAAGAGAGAATGTAAGGTATCTCCTTAGTTTTTAAAATATTGCTTACATGTTGACCCAAAATATCTTAGATATTCAGATTCAATGATATTTTCTATTATAAATTTAAATATATAAATCATAGATAGGCACGTTAAGTTACATTACACTCAATCATATTCAATGATAAATATTTGGAGTAGTTAGATATTGTTTAAATAAAATGTTAAAATTAATGTCACCCATTTCTTTTTACTTTTTTAATGTGGCTTCTAGAAAACTCTAAACTACACACATGGCTCAAAATATGTATTTTAGGAAGTATATTTCTACCAGATGGCGCCACTCTAGAACTCTGGGGGTTTCCGTTCCCGCCGAGTCTGCAGTTGTCCTGATCCTAGGGGTGTCGGGCCCGGGAGTGGGACCCCCAGGAAGCCCTCCAGACTCTCTGACCTGTACGTGGCAATGAACGACGTGGGCCCGGTGGAGTTTGGAGCAGGCGGCACAGTCCAGAAGCAATCCACGGCGATGGGGTACCTGGAGGCCCGGCAATGCACCCTGGGCTGGGTGGGAGCTGCCAGTGGGGTCGCTGGAGGGAGAAGGAGGATCGTGACCTTCTGATTCCCCCAAGATTGCAAAGCCCTACTGTGTGCTCACCCCCACCTGGCTGCCGGCCAATGCCGGGCACGCAGTAGGTGCCTAATAAACATTTGCGGAATGAATGAATACATGAATGAAAGACACCTCCACCATCTCTCACTCCCATTACAACCCATCAAGGCAGGACTGTGAGCCCATTTCTAGATGGGGGAACTGAGGCTTAAGGAGTCACAGAGGGGACCTGGGTGGCAGGGGACCCTGGTGGGAGGGAGGTGTTTTATTGTGTCTCCTCTTTGTAATAGTTTTGTTTTGAAGCACATGAAATGAATGCATGCAATTGAAATTTCTTTCTATCTACCTACCTATCTGCCTATCTTTCATCCATCTCTCTCCCTGTCTATCACCCATCTATCTGTCCAGGCTGTGGCTTTCTGGTGTCACTTTGGGGCAGAACTCTTTCTCCCCATGCCTCAGTTTCCCCTCCATGCAATGGAATGGTAACCCACTCCCACCCATGGGCATACAGTAGGTGTGTGAGTTCCCACCCCACTCCAGAATGCCCCACGGCAGACAAAGTCCAGTCCCCAGATAATGTCCCCCTGCCCGGGTCCCACATACCTTCTGTCCCATTGCCGGGCAGGCAGCCGGCCCAGAGGGCGAGGGCCAGGAGAAGTCTTGGGACCATGGCTCTGGCGGACTCTGCCCTTGGAGACTCTCGAGGGGAGGCAGGGGACTCCGGATCTGCCTCAGGGGAAGCCCAACCCCCAGTCAAGACCCCCCACTTCCCCTTCCCCGGGTCTGACTCACGGGCCGGCTCTGTGGGGCCACCGAGAGTCGAGCGAGGGTAGTGGAGGATCCCCCCGGTCCCTTCACTGGCCACCCCCGGGCACGGGTGTGGAAGGCCCCGAGGGTGGGGGCGGGGAGAGGAGGCCACGAAAGAGAGAAGTGGGGACCCCGTGGCCTTTCCCAGAACAGCCTGTCCGTCAGTCCTTCCTTCCGGCTGCCGCGAGGAGGGGAAACCCCGGGGAGGGGGATGATGACATAGAGAAACACGGAGAAGGGGACAGCGAGAGGAGGGACCCAGAGAGACAGAGAGGGAGAGGGCGACCCAGAGGGAGAGACAGAGACAAGAGGGGAGAGAGACAGAGAGAGATAGAGAGAGACAGAGATGGGAGACTGAGAGACAGACGGAGAAAGAGAGAGGGACGGGGACCCAGACCCGGAGATAAAGACAGACGGGGACCAGAGAGACGCAGGCACCGCCACAGAAGACGCCCGTTCACTCACTGGCCACAGCGATGGGGACCCCCCGGCCAGCCGCCCTCCACACTCCAGGCCAGAGATACAGAAACGCAGGCCCCGGGGAGGCCGAGCCCCTATGGGCCGGGTGCCAGCCCTGGACACTCGAGGAATCCCCCAGGGACAGGCTGGCCGGGGGCGGGGGGGATCACGCCGCGCTCCCCTCCCCCCTCAGCTGGAAAGAGCCAAGAACCCCCAGGGGATTTCGGGGGATTCGCCCAGGCACAGGGAGGCCGGGTTTAAGGTGAGAAATGAGGTGGGACGTCCTGGCTCAGATCCTGTCTTTCCTTGTTTGGATATTTTGTGCACCATGAAGATTTTGGTGCCCATTTTGACTTTCTAAAATATTGCGTTAACACAGTACTCGTCTTGGGACGGAGATCTGGGCTCTGGACGTGAGCACCTCACTCCCCTCATCCTGACCCCTAATCCCGTGCCGGGCCCCCTCCCCTCCCTGCAGCAGGAGCGCAGCAATCAGGCCACACGCGCCTTCGTCCTGTGCTCCGCGAGCTTTATTCCTGGGGTGGCGTCTGGCGACCAGACATGGGAGAGGGGACTCTTCTGGCGGGGCAGGGCCGGGGTGCGCACAGACAGGGCCAGGGTCTAGCCTTGCCGGTGGGTGCAGGGACCAGGCGGGGAGGGAGACAGCCAGGGACAATCGGGAGGGGGCCCAGGCTGGTCTCCCGCGTGCAGGTGGTCAGGGCGTGAGCCGGGACGCCCCCACGCGGGGCCTGGTGGGCGGGGGGTCAGCGCTCGGATGCTCAGCGGCCCTGAGCCTGGAGCCTCTGCATCTGTAGGATCTGGCTCAGAATGCGCTGCACATCTTCATCCATCTGGCCCTGGGGTGGGGGGAGCCAAGAGAGAGCCTGCGCGCTCCTGCCCTGGCTTCTCCATTCCCCTCCCTCCCCGCCCCTGGAGGCCATGAACCTCTCTCCACGACCAGCATCCCGCTGCACAGATGGGGAAACTGAGGCCCAGAGAGCAGCAATGGCGTGCCCAAAGCCAGGGGTGACTCACCTGAATGGCGTATAGGAGGTGGCTCCTATACAAGGTCACCACTGCGCTGTGGGCCCTGGCAGCCTCCTGTGGGGAGCGGGGAGGGGAGCTCAGAAAAGCAGGACCCCCCAAAACAGCTTTGCACCCCAAGCCCCTATTTTGATGGCACGCACCAGCGCGACTATGCCGGTTGCTAAAATATTGCAATATTTTCCTTCCACGCCTGGCAGGTGTCCCCCAGCCCCCCACCCGCCTGTCACTCTCCTGGGACCCCTGCCCTGTGCCCCGTGCAGCCCTCACCTCCTGCTGCTCCTGCAAAGCCTTCAGCTGGCCACGCAAGGCCTCCACCTCGGGCGTGCCTGGGGCTGCCAGCTGGTCCTTCAGTGCTTCCTTAAGACTGAAGACTTCCTTGGAGAGCTCTGTGATCTGGGGTGGGGGTGGAAGAGTGTCACCCCGAGGCCAGGGCTGGGGGCCGGGGACCTCTCCACGGCAGCAGCGGGACGAGGCGAGGGGCAGAGGCTGGTGGGGAAAGTCACATCCTAGGGGCTCACAAACCGCGGCCCGAGCGCCGAGTCCGGCCCAGGAGCTAAGAATGGTTTTCACGTTTTTAAATGGTTGGGAGAAAAAAGTCAAAAGAAGAATGACATTCCGTGACACGTGAAGATTAAATCAAATTCACGGTTCCTCGTTCAAACATAACATTTGATTGGCGCCTGGCCACACCCGTTCGTTTATGCGTCATCTACGGCTGCTCTCAGAGCTGGGCAGACACCACCCGCGCCGCAGGGCCGCCAACACGGTCTGTCTGGCGCCTTACAGAACAAGTTTGCCAAGGCCGTCACATCCCCTCTTGGGGTCTCTGGAAAGTGGAGGCTGACGGAACGGGAGGGCTGAAAACAGCCCGGCCTGGTGGGGCCGGGTCACACAGCCCTAGGATAGGCTCCCTCTCTCTCCTTTCTCCGAGATCTTGGGAAGATCACTTAACCTTTCTGAGCCTCAGTTTTCTCATCTGTAAAGTCAGGAGAATCTCGGTTCTCCCCTTAGTAGGTTACTGTGATTTTGAACAGAGATTAAGTTTAAGCTGTGCCTGGCAAACAGCAGGCACTCAATAAATGCTGAGCTCTGTTATTAATACTACAGATCAGAGGTTCTGGGCCAGGTGCCATTCTGCCCCCCAGGGGACATTGGGTGATGTCTGGGGACATCTGTGGTAGTCACACTGGGGGTGCTCCTGGCATCGAGTGGGTGGGGGCCAGGGATGCTGCCCAACCCCCCACAGTGCCCATGATGGCCCCCCACAGAGAATGACCCGGTGCTGATGTCAGCAGTGCCGAGGGGGAGGAACCCTGCTACGAATAAACCCTAATCTCTACCACAATTTTATTTTCATGTTACAGAGGTGGAAACTGGGGCTCAGAGAGGTCAAGTGACTTGTCCAAGGTCACACAGGAGCTGGGGCTGGGTGACTTTGTGCTGACATACCTGGGCCTCCAGGGGTCACATCCACTGTCCAGTGATGTGCTGTGTGACTTTGAACCACCCACTTTGCCTCTCAGAGCCTCAGTTTGCCATCCAGAAGATGGGGATAAGAATGCTTTCTGCTCTTAGGGTTGCGGGGAGATTAAAAGGGACAGTGTGTGAAAAACACTCCACTCAATCAGCAGAGGCTACTGTGAATCACCATTATTATTATTTAAGAACAGAACTCGGGAACTGGCGTTCAAACCCCAGCTGAACCACTCCCTGGCTGTGTGACCTTGGACAAGTGGCTTCACCTCTCTGTGCCTTAGTTTCCTCAAATGGGGATAACAAAACTTGACGTGAGGATTAAGTGCGTTAATCCATGTTAAATGCACAGCACGGGCATACAGTAAGCACTCAATAAAAGTCACCGGGGTTATAATTAGTATTTGGGTGTCTGAGTTGTCCTCTTCCTTCTCTGTACCTCAGTTTCCCGTCTGGAAAATGGGCTGATGTCCCAAGACCCTTCGAGCTGGGAAATCTTAGATTCTCCCCAACCTCTGTTGAGTGGGGGCCCCCCGACTGAGCACAGGAAATGGGGACCCACCTTCTTGTCCTTCTCCTTGGCCCTGTCCAGGGCCTCCTGGGCACGGCTCTGGGCCTGGCGCGCCTGCTCGGCCTCGGTCCGCAGCCCCCGCAGCTGCTGCTCTGCCACGGCCAGCTGGGCCTCGGCCGCATGCCGTTCGCTCTTCATGAACAGTGCCTCCCGCTGCACCTGTGCCCAAGCCACGTGTGACCCCGAGGACCTCTGGGCCTCAAGGATGCCTGGACCCCAGCGCTCTTCTGACCCTGTATTTTGGCCTGAGGACATTCAAGCCCATTTTGACCATGAGGAGTCTGACTCGAGGGAAGTTCTGGATTCTCCCGGGCACCACGAACATTCTGACTCTGCCAAGCACCTCTGACTTGCTAGCTGTGTGGCCTCAGACAAGTGACTTAACCTCTCTGTGCCTCGGTTTCCTCATACATAAAATAGCCCTCACTTCACAGGGTGGTCATGAGGATAAAATGAGCAGATTCATGGAATATGCTTAGAACAGTGTCTGCCACAAGTAAGAGCTATATTTGAGTTGGTGATGCTATTATTATTAATGACTATTACTATTATTATCATCATCACTAATGTTCTTTTCTCTGCCAGTGGTGTGAAGGTTCGTAGATTTCTTACAAAATGAAAGAAAAACTTGGATGAAAAGCAAACATATGGCCAAAGGTTGATGACTGCATTTTTCACAAAAATATCAAGATTGGAGCAATGTTAGATTTGCAAAAATGGATCCTGAGGGGAACACTGTCCTTTAGAGAAATAACAGCTCCAGAGAAAAATGGATAATAATTAGATGTTCCATTAGGAAAGATTGGCTACACATTAAGAATTAAAAAAAAAAAAAGTACACTGATTGATGAATCAAATCAGACTTGCAAAATTTACCCTGAAAAGAAGCGATCATGAGGAAGGTAAAATTTAGATGTCCGTGAAGACAGGCATACTAGGTTGGACTGTCAACTCTAGGAAGTATATTGAGGGTTTATCTGGCTTCAAAGAGCGCGTTCTTGGAAAAAGAATAACTCTGGCTGCCAGTTATTGATCAACTGTACCGTCACTAAGTAGTTTAGATAAATTAAACCACTTAATTTTCACGTGAGGATTAGGAACTATTATTATCAACATTATTCGGTGAGTGAACAGAAGCTCAGAGAGCAAAATGCTTTCCTGATGACAAGTACATTATAAAAGTAAGGAAGGTAGCTTCTTATTCACATGTCTGTTAAAACAGTTACCAAGTTTGGGGGTTTTTTCTTTTGTTTTTTAAGAAAAAAGATGGAGTCAAAAGGTTCACTATCTGGGACAAATATATTCCCTGGGTTTAAAAAAAACCAACTCAGCATCAAAATCTACTGGGTTCAAAAATCATTAGATCAAAAATCCCTGAATATAATGTCCTCCTCCTTTTGGGCTGAAGCATTTTTACCATAAGATAAAATGAGATGCTCGAAGAGCCAGCTGGAAAAAAACCACCAGGTCATTTTGACCAGCAGAGAAAATGGCCATTAGGTAAAAACATCAGGGCAGAAAGCCCAGTTCACGGCTCGCAAAAAAACGAGCGGACATTGATCCCTACCTCACACCATACACACAAATTAGCACCAAAGCATAAATGTGATTGTAAAACTAAAACATTAAAGATGCTGGAAGATAGCATATGAGAATATCTCCATGACCTTGGGATACACAAAGGTTTTATAAACAGATTGCAAAAAGTTCTAACCATTAAAAAAATGATGGGGCTGAAATGGCCAAAGGTTTTCAAGTAGAAAACGCAGGTCAAAACATCCAGGTCAGAATGGTTGCAGGGTCAAAGGTCCACAGGGAAACACTGGGAAGGTCAAGCGTCTGTAGGATTGAGGCCGATGGGGTCCAAACATGCCACGGCTGCAGGGTCAGAATGCCACCAAGTGGCCACTGGGTGTACCCGGTGGGGGTCTGGCCACGCTCACCTGGAAGACCTCGGCGCTGGTCTTCTCGTGGCGGCGTCCCAGCTCCTCCAGCTGCCCCTCCAGCCGGGCCACGTCGGCCTGCAGCGCACCCACTATGCGCTCGTGGTCCAAGCGGGCCACGCTCCCCACACGCTCCCGCTCCAGCTCCGCCCGCAGCCGGGCAGCCTCCTTGCCCGTAGCCACCACCTCCTGCTCCAGGCTGGCCGCCCGGCGCCGCAGCTCCAGTGCCTCCTCCTGCAGCTGGAGGTGCTCAGAGGCAGGCACCACGGACTGGCGGAGGGCCTCGGAGGCCTCGCGCAGCTCTGCCAGGCCCCGCCGAGCCTCCTCGCAGGCTGTGGCCAGCTCAGTGGCCCGGGCCTCGGCTGCATCCCGTGCTCGGCCCAGCTTGGCAGCCGCTGCACGATGCTCTTCCCCGGCAGCTGTGGCAGTGGCTAACTGCTTCCGGAGCGCCTCCAGCTCCCGGCTCTGCTCCAGCTGCACCTCCTCCCGCTGGGCCAGCTTTGCCCGCAGGCCCCGGGCCTCCTCCTCAGCCAGCAGCCGTCCAGCCCGGGCCTCGTCCAGCCAGGCCGAAGTGGCCTCCAGCTCCCGGAGGCGGGAGTCCCGGTCTCGGAGGTCCTCCCGGGCCTGCTCCAGGGCCGCCCGCAGCTGGACTGTGTCACCACTGCTGACCACGCCGGCCCCGCCAACCTCAGCCTCCCGCACTCGCTCCCGCAGCCGACCTGCCTCAGCCTCCGCAGCCTTGCACTTGCCACGGGCTGCCTCCAGCTCGGTGGCTGCCTCCCGCTCTCGCAGCCGTAGTGCCTCCTCCAAGCCACGAATCCTAGTCTCCAGCTCTGCTTGCAACATTTCTGAGGCCTCAGCAGCACCAGGGTGCAGGATGGGGCCTGTGGCCTCCGCTCCCGTGGCCTCCACTCCCGTGGGCTCCATGTTCGTGGCCTCCACTCCCATGGCCCCCGTGTTCGTGGCCTCCACTCCCGTGGCCTCCATGTTCGTGGCCTCCACTCCCGTGGGCTCCGTGTTCGTGGCCTCCGCTCCTGTGGGCTCCATGTTCGTGGTTTCTGTGCTCATGAGCTCTGCCTCCACAGCACCTGCTTCACTGGCCTTCATTTCTGGTTCCTCTCCTTTCACGTTTGTGGCCTCCACTCCTGTGGCTTTTGTTTCTGGGTTTCCTCCTTCTTCTAGAGCTTTTGTTTCTGTGACCTCAGCCCCCGTGGCCTTGGTTTCTAAGCCTTCAGCTCCTGCACCCTCTGTTTCTGTAGCCTCAACATGTGTGGATTTTGTTTTCGTGGCCTCAGCCCCCATGGGTGCTGCTTCCAAAGTCCTGGCTTCTGTGGTTTTGACTCCCACAGCCTCCTCGTCTGTGGTCTCAGTTCCGTTCACTTTGGTCTCCAGAGCCATGGCCCCATTAAGCTCTGTTTCCATTGGCCCGTTTCTGGTGGTCTCGGCTCCCGTATCCTTGCCCTCCCCAGGGGCTGCCTCCTCTTCTCCGGGTGCCTCCCGTGCCTCCTGCTGCTCCAGCGCCCGCAGGGCCTCAGCGTGCTGCCTGCGGAGCTGGTCCAACTCCGCCCGGAGAGAGTCATAGAGGGCCAGAGGGATGACCTCGGCTGAGCCATTCACCTCCATTTCATCTTTCTCGAAGTTCTCCAGGATCTGGTGGTGAGGTGGGGGAGTCAGGGGAGAGCTGAAGTGGTGGGGCAAAGGGGGCATTTCTCCTGTCCACAGACTCAGCCATGTGCTCATCTGACCCCCCAGGGAACAATCCCTCGGGTCCTCAGAGCTGTCCCCACCCCACTCTCCCGGGCCTTGGTTTCCCCACCTGGACCTTCTCCATCAGCTCCTGGTTCTGTCTGGTGAGCACGTCCACCTGCTCCTGCAGCGAGGCCAAGAGCTCCTGGGCCGACAGGCTTAGCCGCTTGGAGAGCAGGGCCTCGGCCCCTGGCGGGGGGCACAGAGTCAGGCCCCGGGGTCCCAAGCCACAGGGGACAGGAGCTGGGGGTCTGGAGTGGTGGGTCAGGACCCCTGGGGCAGGCAACCTCAGGCAAGTGGAGTAAATAACCGATGCCGGCCAACCTCCCTCCCAGCTTCAAACTCGCTCCCCGCCTGTGGGTCAAGGCTCCGCCTCGGGGGCCCCAGACACAAGGCGGGTGGGGATGCGTGGGGGGAGGACGGGGTCGGAGCTCACCTGGAAAGTCGGGCAGCTCACCCTCCTCATCCTGCAGGGTGGCCACGTCATAGCTGGTGTTCTCCCGCTCGCTCTGGGGGTGAAATCGAGGTCCGGCTCGGGGTTCCGCCCCTCCCTCAGGTCCCCCCTCCCACGAATCTAGAGCAGATGGGGACATTCACATGTCTCTATGACCCCCTACAAGCATGGGACTGACTCTGGCCCACAAGTATTTATTGAGTGCCAACTGTGTGCCGGGGGCAATGCTGAGCTCCCAAGGATGGGCAGTAAACAGCCCAGCGTTGCCCGAGTCTGTGACCAAAACCCCGACGACTGGGGCTGTTGTGTGTGTGCAAGTATTTACGATGTGTGTGTGTGTGTGTGATTATGGCTTCCTGGGTGTGTTAGCTGGAAGTTTGCCTGCTGGACGTGTAAGACCACACGTATATGAGCGTGGCTGGCCATCTCTGTGTGTACGTGAGTGTGTGACTGTGTGTTTTCTGTGTGTGATTGTATGTCTGTTGCGTTTGCACGTTGTGAGACTCTGTGTATATTAGCGTGGCTGTCATGCATCTGCAGCAGGAGAAGCCCCGCCCCCTAGAGGCCCCGCCCCCTTGAGACTCTGCCCCTGGTGGCCCCGCCCCATCCCACTCTCCGCCCCGCCCATGAGTGGCCCCGCCCCTGGAAGCCCCGCCCCCTGCCCTCCACCCCGCCCACCTCCAGCAGGGACAGCCTGCTCTGCAGACTTTCCACCTCCCGGCCCAGACTCTCCTTCTCCTCCTGCTTCTGCGCCAGCAGCTGCTGCAGCTCTTGCACCTGGAGGAGGGCGGTGGAGGCTCAGCCGGCCTCCAGGAGGAAACAGGGCAGCTGGGGGCCGCCTCTGCCCCCACCTCCACCTACCTGTCTCTCCAGGCTGTGGAGCGAGCTGGCCTCCGCCTCTGGCAGCTGATGGAAGAGGGGGAACAGGGCTTGGATCCGAGCTGGGGGCCTCCCCGGCCCACCTCCTGCCTAACAGCCCTCCGTCCCAACCCCAGACGTCCTCTGTGCTCCTACTGCACGCCCAGCACTGCTCGGCCCCCTTGCTCGTGACTAAGTATTCACCGAGTGCTACTTTGTGTCAGATCTTGTTTCTGGCCACGAATTTGTTCATTCACTCATTCATTCACTCACTCAAATATTCGTTCATCCAATACATATTTATCAAGCATCTACTGTGAGCCAGGCACCATCAACCATGCCTGCCCTGGTGGGCTTACAGTGAAGTGGGTGAACGTGAATAAAGTACGTGGTAGGTCCAATAGCAGGAAACACTTTGAATAAAAATAAAGGGAACTGGGAAGTGAGTGGAGGGGGTTATAACTTTAAATAAGGTGGGCAGGGGAGATGTCTTTGACAACAGGTCTTTGAGCAAAGATAGGAGGGAGGGAGCCATAGGGATATCTGGGGAAGGGTGTTCCAGGCAGAGGAACAGCACGTGCAAAGGCCCTGGGGCAGGATTGGGCCTGGTGTGTTGGAGGACCAGTGAGGAGGCCGGTGCGGCTGGAGCAGAGGGAGCGAGGGGGAGAGAGGGAGGAGGGCGGCAGGAGAGGCAGGGGGAGTCTTCCCTCTAGAATTGCAGCCCACCCCAGGCTGAGCCCCAGGCCTGTGCCTCTGCTGCCCCTCACCTCCTGCTTCCTCTGTTCCTGGTGCTGCTCCAGGCCCCGGATCTTCTGCAGCAGGCGGCCCCTCTCTTGTCGCAGCCGCACGATCTCCTCGTAGGCATCTCGATCATCCTGTTCCCGCACCCCAGGGACCCACTGCCTTTAGATGAGGCCCAGGGGCTGTCCCCTCCCATCCCTGAGCCAGAGCGTCCTCCCCCTCCTGCCTGGGGGCCCCTCATTCCTCCCCCCATGGCCAAGGCATCTCTCACCGGCACAGGGATGCTCGCAGGGGGCTGAGGCGCCTTCCGCTTCTTGGTAGCCCCTCGCTTTTCATGGCTGGACACAGAGTTCTGGGGGGAGGGGATGAAGGGGGCACATGGCGGACATGCCGGTCTCCCACCCAAATAAACTCACTCAGCCATCCCCCTATCTGTCACCAGCCCCAACTCTGCCCTCACTTCCTGTGTGATCTTGAGCAAGTGGCTGCCTCTCTCTGGTCCTCACTTAACCCAGCATAAAAGGAGACGAGACCACATTCCCTCCTACAAGTTTCCTTTCCTGGTGGAGCTGAGATGCTATAGAGCTGGGAGAAGGAAACAGGCCAGACCTGCCTCCTTCCCTGGCTACACGAGCCCTCACCAACCTCAGTCCCCTCTACCACTCTACCCCAGCTCCATGATTTGCTCCCATCCCCCCAGTGTTCTCACCCAGTTCTGGAAGTTACACTGTGGATGTTGCTGCCACTTGGTGGCAGCGTACCCTGAAGGTCGCATTCTTCCCAAACAGGTCCTCCCAAGTCATAACCCTGGGGCAGGGGTCAATCTCTTGCTTCTTTTCCCACAGAGCCTGGGTCGAGGGGGAAGGCAGTGTGTGCCTAGGGAGGGGGACTCATCCACTGCTTAGGGATCCATACCTGAGATGAGGCCTCGCCTGAGTCATCCTCTAGGAGGGCGGGGGAGAGAGGGAAGCAGGGTCAGGCACTCTGTTCTAGGGACTCCATTCCCAGCCCTAGGAAGGGCATTAGTGAGCCCAGGGGCCTTGGAGGGGGGAGGGGCCTCCCAATTCCCCAGAATCAGGACTTCTAAGGTAAGTATCAACTACTTTGGCAGAACGCTGTTAAGAGGGACCTTGAAACTCTCGAAAAGAGAAGACAGTGGCATCTCCAGGATGGGGTGAATGGGGTACCAATTCTTAGGAAAGGCAAAGACCCAAGAATAAGGATTACCCAGGAAAGCAGAGTGGATCCCTAGACTATTCTTAAAGCTCTGAGGCTCCTTGAAACTGTCCTGAATGGGATCTGGGGAGCCATGAAACCTCCTATAATGCAGCAAACAGGGATACCTTGAAACTATCCAGAGTAGGAAGAGAAGAGGGTGAAAAGAAACCATCTAAAAGGAGATGAGGGGGCTGCTTGAAACTGTTTAGAGGTGGGGCTGGCATACCGCTGGGTGGTGAGGGGCGCTGGGCCGCCTCCTGCAGGAGGTGCAGGATGAATTTGTCCCCGGCCAGGGCGCCGTAGTGAGCAGCATCCTGGCCCAGAGCATCGGTGATGCCCGGCCGAGCCCCGCCCTGCAGCAGCACCTCCACTGTTTCCGGGCTGGCCCCCTCACAGGCCAGCATCAGGGCTGTCCTACCAGGAGAGGGGGCTACTGAGAAGGTGTGGCCATCCTCAAACCCCCACACCCTTCTCCATACCGAGCCCGGGTGTGGGGAGGAGGCCAACCAGATTCCCCTCCACCCAGAGAGGTTAAGAGACTTGCCCAAGGTCACACAGCACACAATGGACTGGCTGGGAGGAGAGATGCTCACCTGCCCTGCAGGTCCTGGTCATTTGCGGCAGCCCCCTGCTGCAGAAGGAGGCGGCACAGATCTGTATGACACATCTGAGCTGCTATGATGAGGGGTGTTGTACCCAACTAGTGGGGGTTGGGGGAGGGATGAAACAAGCCATGAGAGGCTGACCCTGAGAGGTAGGGAAGCCTATAGGACTGACCCTGAATTTCACCTCCAACTCTTCCACACTTTTCCAAGGGTGCCTGGGATGCCGCCACTTGGTGGCAGCATACCTCAAGTACAGTATCTTTCCCCAAAAGCTCCCAGAGGCTCACCCGATCTCGGGGATTCAGTTGTGCCTTGAAGGAGCAGAGCATTTCTGAGCAGGAGATGCAGCCGCCAGCCACTGGAAAAAGAGAGAAGTAATTATTGTGTACCTACTATGTACTAAACCCTCATACAGAGAGTGTTAATGTTGACCAGAGGGATCAGGCCTCAGCTGAAGCTGGGTAGGCTTCTCGGGGTTTGACCTGAGTTCTGAGTTTTGAGGGTGAAAGGAAGAGGATAGAGGTTACCGCATAGGCAAGGGCCCTGGGGTGGGAAAGAGCTTGGTAAGGTCAAGGAAGTGGGAGATAGTGTGTACTTCTAGAACCTCAAAGACAGAAGGGAGGGCTTCGTGCGAGGTGTTGCTGGAGAAGTCAACAAACTCTATCTGACTACCTGCTGTGTGCCCGAGGGCGTATGGGATTTTCTTTGCCGCTGTAACCCCAAAGCTTAGAACAGAGCCTGGCACCTAGCAGGTACTTAAATATTTATTGAATAAAAAAAACCAACGAGCTTCCGTAGTGTGACCAAAGGCATTGCCACCTCTAGGTGGCAGCGTACTCCAACTGCAGGGAATTTTTCAACAGTGACTAAAACTCGAAAGCGGACCCAAATTTATTCCGTGTTCCCAAAAGGAGAGACGTTTCTCGAGTCATCAGTGAAGGCCACTGCCGAATCTCCTGGGCGTGGTGGACAGATGTCGGGCTGCGTTCTAAGTGGGTGGGTCCCTGCCCCTCCCTCAGGGAAGGAGTTTGGATTTGATGAGTATGAAGGCTGCCCGGACCTTGGGCCTTCCTGAGATTCCCCAGGGGTTCCTCAAAGGGAATTATACTCCCGCCACGCCCCATCATCCCCACCAGGCCTGGCACGCAGCATGGACCATGGTGGGCAGGGCGAGGCTGGGCTGAACCCACCTGCATGATGCAGGGCCGTCCACCCACTGCTGTCGACGATATCCACCATGTAGGATGCCTGGGGAGGGGGACAGGTCATTTGAGGCAGAGCCATCCCTCTTTGTGCCTGATTCCTCTAGCAACTGCCCCTCCTTGGGCTTTGCTGTATTCCAGGCTCCTTGCCACCCCCTCCTCCCCTCCCACCTCCCTGCTCTGCAGAGCCCGTCTCCTCACGGGCCCCCAAGTGATTCTCTGCCTTTACCACAGTTGGTGAGAAAGAGGGAACAGCGGGGGGCTGAGGAGCAGCTGGGGGCCTGGGGAGTAGATGGGAGCTCTGAGAGTGGCTGTGGCTAAGAAAGTACCTGGGGTTTGGAGAGAAGCTGCGACTCAGGAAATATCTGGTATTGGGAGTATATCCTGGGTGTGGGAAGTATCTGGACACTCAGGGAGTATCTGGTTATCCAAGGAGTAGCTGGGGCTCAGGAGCAAAGGGGGCCAAGGAATATCGAGGATTCAGGGAGTATGTGGGGGTTCAAGGAATTGCTGGAACTCAGGAGTAGCCAGGGCAAGGGAGTATCTGGGGTTCAGGGAGTATCTGAGGCTTGGGGAGTATCCGAGGTTCAGGGAGTATCTGAGGTTTGGGGAATATCTAAGGTTCAGGGAGTATCTGAGGTT